TTGTATCGAGTTGAGTACATGGTGCATGTTGAATGGAAAAGCGAGAGAGAAAGGGAACGGTATAGATCCCGAACCTGCAGCATTCGCTCCTTGTCATTTGTGCTCCAAAGATGTGGAAGGACTAAATCTGAGCCAATTGCATGTCAACGGGAAATGCTGTAAGGTTTGTGCGCATCTGCACCCACCACGACCCAAAATCTCCACTGACTCAGAGATTTCTTCGTCCCGAGGAGTATCACTGGCTTGGCGTACCGGTTGGTTATACTCTGGGAGTGAACTTTTGTGGGGAAAAGGAGGTTTGTTTCTTGTACGGAATTGCTCATTTGGTCGGAAGTAAGAAATGGCGATCCGGAGATATCCCCAAGTCTCTAGTTGTTTTGTCACCCGCTGTCCCATACACCATAATAATTAATGCTCTCCTCTTCCCCACACAAATCCACTCCTATTTGCTTATTTTTCTTGGCAAGGTTTCGATACAATCTGGCGGCGGTGGTGGTGGTGGTTGGTAGCAGTCGTTGGTGGGTGTACTTTTCCGGAGAAAAAGGAAGGCTCCCGGCCTCCCGTGTTTTTCTTTGGAGATTGGCACCATCATCTCCAAAGTATGATTTTCGTTCCCCCTCCACCCCATAATTCATGGTTTACTTTTCTCCGTTCCCTTAACGGCGTCTCCTCCGGAATTCTAATGTAGAGATTGCATGTCAACAGATCGTAGATACGGGAGTGAGGCAGAGGTGGGTAGGTAGTTTGGCTTCCAGACTCATAATAACGCACACTGCTGGAGAAAGCAGAGGTGGTGGTGGTGATGGAGGCAAAAAGGGGCATGAGCCCTGCGAACGGTCACTCAACTCTTTCTCTCCTTTCCTCAAAACCAGCCAAGTTTTTATTTGTTATGCACAAAGTTATTGTTGCAGCATCATAAGCACAGTGTCCGACCGCGTTGTGTTGGCTGGTACAGAGTACAATGCATAAGGTTGGTTGGGAGTTGAGGTGGTTTGCGTTGTTGGATGTTTATATAGAGCAGTGTAGATGATGGTATGGGCTAAAAAGTGCAGAGAGAGAGAGGAAGCAGGTGGGGTGGAGCAACGTCAACCCTCTCCCAGACCCACGGTGAGCTCACTCGCACCACAGACGTCGACCCGTCATGACCACGGCGTCCGCTTTCTCCGAAAGAGGGGCAGAGTAGGATCCACTGCAAAGTGCTCGCTGAATAATTTCGTCTCAAATTTTCAAGCTTTTTTTAAGGAAGAGAGGTTTTTGGTGGTGACGTGTTGGTTGGTGGAATTAATCGGGTGCAGTTCAATTGAAACATTACTATTCTTTACTTACTCTGAGTGCAACGCAACTGTTGTGCAGAATGTGGTGGTGTAAGAATATATCTCATTATCGTCAGGTCCAAAACGGTGAGTGTGAGTGGTGCTGCATAATAGGGAAACAAATAAATATATGTAAATATCTTCCGCACCAGAAAAACGAGAGGGAGGGCAAAGAGAATCAATAAGAGGAACAATTTGTGGACAATGATAATAATTTCGGTCTGTCAGTCAGTCAGTCTTCTTCTTGGGACACATGGGTTTATTGGTCTGATATTGCGAACATGCACAATAATTGTCACATCCACCTTCGTCGTCGTACCGTGCGTGGCGTGGTATTGAGCTACGTACAAAAGTACAGACTCGTAAATAATACGTAATTTTCCTCAATTCTTCTTCTCCGCCTCATGACGAAGATAATATTCTTCAGTATCATCTCAGTAAATATTAAAAAAGTGTTGGTTGGTTCGTGCTCCAATCCAACCCAAAAAGTGAATAAGTGCATTGCGTTGGTGGAGGAAGGAGAAATGGAAAGTTGGTCCCAAGTCGGTCCAAGCAGAATATTATGGTTTGTCTGGAGGTCTTATGGTAGGTGGCCGTTATTGTTGCTGGTCGACGACGAGGGTCTCTACCTGCCTGCCTGCCTGGGTCCGTCCGTCCGTCGGTAAGGATAACAGCTGTAACTAATAACTGCACCACTTCCGGAGTAGGTGATGCCTACAGCTTATAGTTTAGCTGTCGTGTGGGGGTAAAAAACCGGAGGAGCATCCGATTCACCATCATTGTGCATCCTTATTGCTAGATAAAAGTTGAAAGGGGAAAAAATCCTAGAGCTTGGGAAAAAGAGACTCGATCAGTGGTTGTGGTCCAAGAGGGACGTCTTCTTGGCTTCGTCTTCTTCACACCACGTCCAGCAGTCACATTCCCATATTATATTCCCATCATGCTACTAACCTGCCGACTTTCTTGCACCACCACCACCACGACCAAGGCGAATGGGTTTCTTTAAGAGCAACCTGTCCATCCATCCATTCATCAGAATAAGAATAAGACCAAGAGTCGCAGAATTGCCATTACTTCATTATTTATGGGTAATAATAAAATAAACAACCAGCCGAAAAGACTCCATGCTAAAAAATGCAGGCTTGGCAGGATGTCAACTGCTCCACTGAAACCATGCTGCGGCATGAGAATAGTCAGAGTGATATGCAAAGTATCATTTAAATAACTGATAGATAATGCTCTATAACTGCGATACAGATGTATCTCTCTCTCTCTCTCCTACTGCATATGCACATACGTGGCTGGCAGATGAACTACATAGGTAACAAAGTCCGACAACAATGCACTGGTTGGAGAGATAGTAAACCAGCAGCCGCGGTGTAGTCGAAGTGGTGGCAATGAAGAAAGACGACAGCATCGCTCATCCTGACTATTCCTGACATAATGGCGAGTAATCATCATAATCGCCTTGGTTGTTGGGGAGGCCATACAGTTGCATATTATCTCCTCTCTTCTCCTGTTTTACTTGCTATTGGATGGACGACTTGGACCGCAAAGTAAAGCAAAACAAGGCAAAGCACAGGTTTTATATTATTATTATTTGTTAGCTTAGAGAGCGAGCTGTCTCATTTTCTATTGATGACAGCCCAATCATTTTATCACCACCTCGGAATGAATTGAGGCGTGAAACCCGAGGAGCAAAAGCAACGCATAAAATGAAACTCTCTCAATAATAATAATCTCCTTGCATTCTTTTTCTCATCCATTCCTCTCCATCCATCCATCCACCATTAGCGTCTAGACGAGGGAATCCATGTAACGTGGTGGTGGTGGTAGAAGAATTGGACATTCTCGGGATGTTGCTTGTTTCGCAATGTCACAAAATTCATTCAAATCCATTAATTACTGTTTTTCATGAGGCTTCATGACGCTTTTATTTTTGATTGTGCAGATTCTTCTGGATGGATGGGATCGCCTTGGCTGGATCCGAATTCTACAGGAATACACATGACGAACCTCCTCATCGTCACGATGGATCATTTTCTCCGAATGGCACTTGAAGAATTCACGGGTGGTTTTGCAATCCCGTGATTCTCACGTGCCGTACGGAGCGAGAGATGACTCCTCATATGAAGAGAGAAGCACAAGAAATTGGACATCGACGCGGACATACGCGATCAAGCATTAAGAATTAAAGCGCCGTCTCGTCGTGAATACTTATTTATCGGGGATGAAAGTGACTGTAAAATTTGGATGGATTTTGTGGTTCAGAGTTCTCAAGGAATTACCAAATCACCTGCCTGCCTGCCCCACCGTATCTTTTGCTCTTTTGGAAATCAAGCGTGGATGAATTTAGAATCCTCTTGATGATTCGCTCTCTCTCTCTCTTTCTCTTTCTCCTCTGTGTCTGTCGGGTGTGCATCCCATGAATAAATGTGCGTTTGTAGTAGTAAGAGACCAAGAACAAGAAAAGAATGAGCAGAGAGATGAAGGTAGTAAGGCCAATTCTAATAGTAGTTGTAAGTAGTAAAGTGACTTGACAGTCGATCATCCTCTTCTCTGGATCGGCAGAAGAAGAAGTAGAAGCAGAGAGGAAAAAATATGCTTCTTCTCCGTCACGCTGTCGTGATCAGGAGGAGATGGCAGAGAAAAAGGCATTAAAACAGTCACACTAACACAAAAGACCGGTGATGGTGGTGTTTGATGATGAAGTGAATCATCTCTCTCTCTCTTATTGCCGGTTCTTCTTACCACCAAAACATTATTGGTGGCCGAGGTACGTAGTCTTATTTTACGAGAGAGAGAGACAACGCACCTGTCACAAGTTGAGACATATAATTACTCTTTCTTCCTGATCTTCTGTAAAAGAAGGACTCCCACTCACAAAATTTTTGCCAAATCTACATTATCGCACGGCGTCTCCAGAGAGAAACCCGTCAATAAGTCAGCGACAATACTACTTAACTGCTGGTGGTAACAGGGGCAATAACATTCGTAACTTGAGACGACACACCACCGGATACTAGCAAAAACCATTTTCGCAAACGTCGTCCTGCCACCACCAAGTGTGTGGAATGATAAAATGTCACCCGTAATATATGACGTTTTAAACCATTATGATTTTTAATATTTCATTAAAATGCATATTGTATAATTTTACTCCTTCCTTATTTCTTGCGGCGTTGGATTTTACTTACTCGCTCGACTCTCTGTTATCATTCACAGCAGCAGCAGCGGAGAAGTTCTGCGAGCACGATTCTAATTCATAGTCTGACATCATCTACTTTTTATGCGGAATGATTTTGACGACGTGGTGGTTGATGAGTTGGTTAAAGTCGTCTGATGTTGGTGGTGGAAAGTATGGAAATAATTAAAATGGATGGGAATCAAATCAAAAACGTCACGTCACAATGACCTGTAGTTATCCTTGGCACTGGAAGAATTCACAGATAGTTTCTTTGATCGTGGATTCCCTGGTGCCATAGATAAAATTAACAGGAATCCGTCCCCATCATCATCATCTCGTCGACTCGTCATCTACACAGCCATCCATTCATCATCAATCCCATTTTATAAATATGCATGCAATTTCCTCATCAGGTTGGTTGAATTATTTTGGTCAAATATGTAATGAAAATTGAAATTAAAAATCTGAATAAAAAATTGATAGAGAGATCCATCATAAAATTGTGTTTAGGTTTGTGACGGCAAATTTTTTGTCGCGAAATGTTTATTTCTCCGGAATATTTTCTCCACACATTTACATAAATCTATATAAGTAATATGTATTATTAGATCATGAAATGTATGAAAGTGAAAAATTTATATTACAAAAAAATATCAAAACATTATGTGGCACACCTTTCGCCAGTCTTTGTTAACATACTTTTGTTACTTTCTCTATCCTGCTTATAGCGAATGACTAGCATTTGGTACATAAATTGACTAACTCTACAAATACATACATACACATAACACAAATATGTATATTTAACTCCATATTTCTTAACATTTTTTCTTAAACCTACGAGCAATTTATGAGATATTAATACAAAAGTGGAGAACACGTTATCAAAATTTTAGCAAAATGTACAAAACGCACAAAATCCGTATTTTCATAAAAGTTTGTCATCAGGGTGATAGGTATAGTTTCATTTTCATCAGTTGGTTTAATTGGCTGGCCACAACTGTTGCGACGAGGACTTGCTGGAAATGGCTTGAAGTCTTTCAATGTCTGTAAAAAAAAAATTGAAAATAAAAGTTTGTCACCTTATCTGAGGACCCCACCTAATCACCATGCATCAATTTTATATCTTTCTCATTATTAGATTATTTATAAGCATTATTTATACACATTTGGATTATTTTCAATTAAAAAACAAGTATCATATATACATACAAATATATGTAAACTGTTTACTCTGTGAATAAATTATCACTTACCACTCGAAATGTCCTCAAGTAGTTGGAGAATGGTTCTGAATGGTGGCCTAGTGGCAGGTTGGGCTTGGAAACACATTTTCATCACGTCATACACTCTGACAGGGCAATTGTCAGGAGCTTGGAGAAAGTTTCCATCCTTTATGTATGTGACCACTTCTTCATGCGTCATCCCATAATAGGGCTGGAGAGCCAGACTGTGCAAAAAATAAATTCAAACCCATTTAGTTAGTGTCAACAAACACAGGGGACACAACAGAGGAAGAAGAAGAAAGTGGGACATCGGTAAGTGAATTTAATAATATACATATGTACCGGTATGTATGTACATATGTGCATACCTAAATATTTCCCATAAACACACCCCATATGCCCAAACATCCGACTCAATTGTGTACTTGTTGTACAAAATGCTTTCCAGTGGCATCCATCGGATCGGAATAGCGTCATCGTCTTGTCCTTTGTAGTAGTCCTGACAGAAATTATTGCATGGCATGTTAATGTATAAAATGTACGCGGAAGTTATTGATTATTTTCGGCACTACGTATGTAAATAAGTATGTATGTACGTCGACCAACCTGGAGATAAATCTTTTGGGAGAGGCCAAAATCCGCTATTTTTACAGTCATATTTTCGTCAATTAGACAATTTCTTGTAGCCAAATCCCTGAAATTGAGAATATTTACTATGTTAAGAATTTGATGTGAAATGGTCAATAATTCAGGAAAGCATTTTTACCGATGAACAAATTTCCTATCTGACAAGTACACCTGGAATAGAAAGATATAAAAGTATGATAAAAGTATGACTGTGGCTAATAAAGGATAAACAAACCATTCCAGATCCGATTTGACGCGCAATCCACAACATGTCCAAATGATTTAGCCGAACATCTCGCCACACATCCCCGTTAGAAGAAAGGGTATTAATCGTCCGGTAATTGCTGGCTGTGCAAGATCTGAGAAACTCATTGAGATCGCTGAGCCCCATATACTCCAAGAGGAGACACATTGGTTTCCCAACGGCACAAACCCCCAACAGTTTGACAATGTTGGGGTGGTCAAATTCCGCCAAGAGGCAAGCTTCTCATAAATTAAATACGCCATTTAGATTAGTGTCAATATATATATATATATATAAACGGGAGTAAAAAAGAAAGTAGGACAAGACAACGGTATGTGAATTACCCACCTTAACCTGATGGTGGTTTGGAGGTGATTATGTACAATATTTACACGAGTCTGGTACTACTCTAAAAATGAAATTCAGGGGCCAAAGGGAGAAGCCCTTTCACCATCTTATCTAAAGAAATTCCTTCTTTTAATAACTTTTCCAACTCCCCACTATCAACTTCAGTCTTAATTTCTTGTTGGATCGTCTCTTCAAAACAAGGTAAGATTCCAAAAAGGTATCGGAAGGTGCGACCGGTTGGGGTATTTTCAGGGGGTTTATTGACCCAGTGCAGCCAATCCACGTCTAAGGGTATCACATTCTCTTGTTTGTCTGGGTTTGCTTTCTTCTTCAGTCTCTTATAAATATTGTCGGTAAATGGGTTGGTTTTGAAATACCAATTGACGAAATTATTAATTTCAGTAGTAGTAGCAGTTAGTGGTGGGGTAGAATTGGGATGATTTAGAAGAGCGAGTGAAAGTATGACCCTTGGCTCTGTTTTTTCTTCCCTATAGTACGTATGACATAATAATTATTATAATAGTAATAATTATAAAACTCTGGTAAAGATAAAATTTTTACATACGCTGATATTCTCCCTCCAGGGCGAAGTAAAGGTTTATTCCAAGCATATTTCTCATCCCCATTTTCATCAACTTTAAATTTTTTAAGGGGAATTGGGGGACCAGTGTCTGTTGTTTCAGATAGAGACTTAATTTCATTAAATCCGAAAAATCCCCGTGTGCCGAACTTTTCCATCATTTCATTCTCAAACTCTGTAACAACAAACAATGACAGATTGTGACCCACAATACTAAACTTAAAATAGAGTATGACAATTTTATACCTCTTCTTTTAAGTGGACCACCCAGTACCTCTTTGATAGGGACAAACCGGAAATATTGGAGTGGACATTTGTCGCCGTGTTCTTGGAAATGTCGGTGAACGGCTTGTGGAAGTCCTACTGCATTTATATGACGTTTATGACCTAAGCACCTCTCCCTAATGATTCCCTCCCCAAAATACACCACACCCGTATACTTACAGTCCGGCTTTACACAAATAATGGCATACACGCCCTCACTAAAACTCTCACATTTCAAAGTGTCCTCTGACTTCCATTCATCTCTAAAGTAGTAGGGATCGGTTGGATTTCTCCTATTTGGAATCTTATTTCCTTTGTACAAAAAGTTATGTCTGTTCTGCCCTTTACAATTATCACAAAATGTACACATTGGACAAGGACTGTTTTTATTTTTGATTTTATCAGCACTGCCACACTCTTGAACACAAAGTCCATCCGTCTCACTTAATTGCTTATCAACTAATAAGTTTTCCACTTTCTTTGACTCTTTTCTCAACCTAACCAACTCAGTTGCTAATTCATCCCCACTAAACTCGGTATACTTATCCATTTTAATATACAAATTAAATAACAATTTGACCAGCAATGAAATTTTGACTAGAGAGAGAATACTTTGTCAGCACCACTGTGCACTGATTCTTTCTTTGTGTCGTTGCATAAAATGTGCTCGTGTAAATACCGCGCAATCACCTCCAAACCGTCAAGTAGTCTCAAATTAAACACCTTGCCTACACACCTTCGCGTTCAAAGTCGACTTGCAAATCCTCTGTGGCCTCTTCCTTCAACATTTTTACCGCGACCATTGTGAATTCTTCGCCTTTCAAGAGGTTAGGCGCCTTGGCCTGTTAAATTTGATTTGAGATTTATTTATTTAGCCAATCCGTTCAAATGTCGACTTGCCATAAATAAGCTGAATTATTTACCAAGAACACACGACCAAACGCCCCCTGTCCCAAGTCTCGGATATAAATGATATTATTTCTAGGAAACTCTAATTTCTCCAGTTTTGGATTGAGACTACTCCCATGTCGATGATAGTTTGCATTACTGCCCAATTTGTCCAAGTCAATTTCTACCTCCTGAATTCATTAATATATTTAGGTGGACATTGAAAGAGAATAATTATCAAGGTAATGGCATTATTCATTTATTTCATATGTACATACATTTGTAGCAGCACGGTCATAACCGGGCGGTCTCCGTGGCTTCTTTTTCCCCGATGCGATACAGGCAGCACACATTACGACCAAAGACATCAAGACGACCACGCCAATCCCAGCAAAGAAGAGGAACTCTTGAGTGTGGATAAATGTTTGAAAGTCCCAAAGAGCAGTTTCAGTCGGAGTTTGCACAACGGTTACTTCCTCATAGTCAAGATCGTCATGCGGATTTTCTGCATTATTAAATTAACTTTCATAAAGATAACTACTAAATGATACAGCAGCAATTTGTGAAACTGAAAGAATATGACTCACCGCAGTATGGAATGTCACAATGCTGCCATCGTACATATGGATCGGTCGTGTAACCTATAAAGATTACAAATATATTTAGTCAGACCTCTCTGCAGGATAGTATATTTGATTATATTTGAAAATTTCTAGCCTTTAATGACCCAGAGTCATAAATATGAAGATTGTTTCGAAATCGCAATGTCAACAAATCATTCATTTTACAGATCAATATTGAAAAAAGGATTGATTCGCATACTTGGTGCACAAAAGCACAAAAGTGAAAATCATTTTAAAGTTTTTGAACCAAAAACCAATGCGAGACCAGTAAACTTGAAATTATTTGACAACTACACGATATCATCCTTACACCAAGGTCTTGGTTCTTCTCCTCCTGCATTTCGACAGTAATTTTCACTGTTTTGAAGCTCCGGAAAAACTGGAGGTGGTCGGTTGTGATTGTGAGGTTCTTGACTGTCCCATCGTTGGCAGGCTATTCCCGACTTGGTCACATTTACGGTCCCTTGGTAAAATCGGCCTCGTAATTTAATGCAATCCTCTATAATTTGTATTAGAAGATATTTGTGTTAGACATGTTCTTTTAAAAAATTTAAATGAATATCAAAAAATTACGGGTAATCTCTTCTGTTGGCATTTCCGTTAAGCGAGACGTGGAGCAGGGTCGAGTAGTATCATTCATGTGGGGGAGTGACTCACAGCTTGGAAGACGAAAATGACCACGAGCTTTAAGATTTATTCCTCGTTGATTGTTATCCTCCAACAGCGCCCATTCACGGTAACAGAACGAGTGCTTGACAGCAATGCAGTCCTCATAACATAGTGGAAGACCAACTGGATCCCATCCACCCTTCAACAAACATTTTGGGAAGGCATACGTGCACAGCAACCGCTGAGGAAATTAAATTTCATGTATAGAATATTAACAAGTAAAAAAAAATTGTGTACTGGACGAATTTTTGTACCTCCGCTGCAGTTCTGCATGGTTCGGGAAGACCAGCAATAATTTCATTCCATAATCCAGCAGTGATTTGTTCGTTGATAACACCCCCCGAATTTCCCAAAGTGTTATTAATCCAAAATTGGCGATGAATCCAGCTCCTACATTCACCAAATTTCAAATTTTTCAAAGTCAAACGTTAATGAAAATGTTGGAATTTTTAAACTCAATTCCACATACTTGCAAATCTTGCCATTGTAATATGCACACTGTCCGGTGGGAGGTTCTCTGAACTTCAAGTCGTCATCCTGATTGGGCGACGGGATATTTGTGACTTGTAATCTAAACTCTTTCATTGTTTTGATATTTCCCGTGATCACTGCGTTGGAGGCTTCACATGCAATTCGAGTAGATGCTGTGGCATTGGTTATTCTCAGCGATGAAATTGCCTTTGGGACAAATGATTTATTCGGCTCGTGCGGTGTGAGCTGAAACAATTGACAATAGTATGTAAATGCTAAACTAAACTACAATAAATTAAACCGCGTAATGCATGTACACACATACCTCCACCATTGTCTGAACAATTTCTTCCGCTTCATTTCCCACCTATAGTAAATCGAACAAATTAACTATCCTGCCCAATTTCTTAGTTATACGGCGACGTTATTAACGTTTATTTTAGTAGTCACCTCTTTTCCATCCAACAACCATCTCACGGCAGGCAAGGGGTCCCCTCTCGCGACACAATCTGCATCAAACCGAGTCCCCCACGGGACTGAGCTATTGACGGTGTGCTTAAAAATGTCGACCGGAACTACAAATAATTACATAAAAGTTAAAGGTACCAGCTCAATTAAGGACAAATGTATTAATGTGCTGACCATGAACACGTAAATAAGCCCAATGCGTATTTGTAGTCTTTGTCATTTTTGCATCTTCGACCTTGACGGAGCACTGATAAAACCCTTCGTCCTCTTTTTTAACAGTGTGAAAGACGAGCGGACCATCCAGCATGACTTCGATTCGATCCTCTTGCAACTTATCCTGGACCACCTCTCGGTTTGGTTTTGTGAACCAGACAAATTTGACTGACTCTACTTTTGCGGAACAGTTCAACAGTGCTCGATCCCCTTCAAGGACGGTCAGATTTTGTGGCACGGAAGTAATTATGGAGCCTGGACCCGTTATCGTCAAATGAGTGAGAAAGATAGATCAATACAACGAAAAAGTGACATAAAAGATGAAAACTCCGTACCGGTGATCATTTCCTCTACGATGTCAATCTCTCCTGTGACGAACGCCACGCATGATAGCAGCCACATTGCGGCAACCCAAACATTTTCCGGGCCCATTATATCGATCTTCCTCTCGATTAATTCTTCATTAAAGGCGAGTAAATGGTATTAGGATCCATTGCACATTTCATTTGTGAAGATCCCTTTATAAATGTAAAGCTAAAAAACGTTATGCATTATTAGTCCATTTCCTCTCTACAAAACAAAACTTTCTGTATTTATTTCAATTTTATCTTTGCTCACCTTATTGTATTTGATAAGCTCGAGGCTTATCTCTCTATATCTAATATAAAGTCCAGTCAAGATCATCCAGCAGTGGTGTGATGTAAAACTACTACTGGAGTAAAAGAAGTGCAGGCATATGATTCTACTAATCCTAACTTCAATCCACCATCACCATCACAAAAAAAGATCTACTACTACCTACACGAACACCGAGGAGATCTTTGCCTATCTTCTTTGTACTCTGTTTAACAGCCTCAACCCTTTACTCGTATCATGGGAAATCCTAAATTCTAAGAGGAAATCAACAAATATGTCAAGATTTTAAAGAGATTTTTCTCTGCGATCAGTGAGCAGGACCAACGCCGCCCCCTATCTAGATCTATACCCTTAAATTCTCTCCACTCTCCGGTAGGGGTTCGACTCCTGGAAAGTTTTGTTACCCACCAAAGTTCCCGAAATCTAGGCAGAGAGAGGAGTCAGAGAGCGATGCGTGCATTCGGATTAGTCGGAATGCTTGAAATAAAAACCCATGAGTGAGACACGCTTGCTACCAAAATTATGCGTCACCTTTTTCATAGCATTTGTAATAGTTTATTATTGCTTTTTCAATTCGATTTTCATTCAACTTTTTGCAATTTAAAACAACGATTGGAAACGGATTTTGCATTTTAATATCTATTTCTTCTTCTATTATTAATGTTAATATGGCGTCAATAAATGCAAGTTTTGCGAGAACTATGCTATATCATAGTAGGTATATTTATGTGAATTATTATTATGCACAAGTTTCATGGGCTGAGATTGAAACAGTTATTTTTTAGATTCTAAATTTCTACATAATGAGAGTATTCATACATAATTCACGTCACTTCAATTACATGCTGGATGTGAACAACAACAACGAGGAACAAAAGCAGCATACTGAAATAATCCTATCGTTAAAGAGTCGGGAATTAACCGATTCTGCGATTGTACCCAAATGAGCAAATTGCACCAACAGTTTTTTTTTATAACAGAATGACACAAAAACAACAAGGTGTAACATTTAATGAAAAAATAGTAATACATTGTACGGGACAATTTTTCCAGGTATAGTACTAGCGGGTAAGTATAATAATAGTTGCAGTTGCGTGGCGTCAGGGTTGGACTTCTACGCATGCAGTAAATGTTTTAATAACAGAGCAAATTTGCAAAGAATTGTCAATAACGCATTCAAAAAAATATTTAGACCATTATGTTCAATGCCCTGCGATGATTGTAATATACATTAATTCGCACAAATCACGTTGATAAGAACAATAACTAATAGTTAACTACGCTCTAATTCAACATTAAAACATTATTATGACACTTTGATGGACATCACCACATTGATCACTCAATCCTGACTCTAGACATAGTATTATTATTATTATGGTGCATTAACAAATTATTCTGCCCATTAACCAAACACGAAGAGTGTCAGTCTCTTTAATCTGAGGTGTAATGAACACCATGGTGTTGTTGTGGATAACTAAAATGCTATAAATGAGACAATGAAAAACTGTTTTAGTGGATTGTGTGTATAATAATATCGTGCTACTTGAGTAAACTAGTCTGAGATTTAGAATGAACTACTTATTATGCTTTTTTGAGGGGTAATCTAAGTAAATAATATTATTATGCAAACGGTCCTAAGGTGATTTTCTGTCCGACTTTGATTTCAGCCATCCAATTGAGGATTCTTTGCTTTTCTTAGAATCCTTCGGAGTGGCAGCAGGTACGGTGGACAACGACGACGATGACGACGAAGAAGGTCTCGCGGAACTTAACTTTTGCTGATTTAACACTGATTCCGATGGTGAAGCTAGAGACTGTTTGTTTCCAGTTATTTTCGGCTTTTCTTCCGGTTTCTGCGGCGATTTATCTTTAGTAGACTTACTATTGGCATTAGTTACTTTCTGGGAAAAAGCACCACTATTTAAACTAATAGCATTTACGACGGGGGTGTTGTTGTCTGGATTTTCTCGTTGTTCGGATGATGTAGGATTATTTGTCACTACTGGACAGGGCGGATCAGACGGTTTGTTTGTCCCAGTAGTAGAAGTAGCTATAGCAGTATAAGAAGATGAAGAAGCATCCAATGATGCAGGTTGAGATTCTCCACCTTCTTCTTTTGGAGAATCTTTTTCTTCTGCGATTCTTGGTAAGCCAATCGTTACAGTAGACGACAGAGAATTTGACGAGGAACTCTCGCTAATGGATAGTGAAGAAGTTTTCGTCACAATTTCGTTCTCCACTTCAGCTCTCCCATCTTTCCTGGCTCTGTTGGGAGGAGGCCGAGGTGGTTCTGGGACGGGCTGCTGCTTGGGAGGAACTGGTGAGGTAGTAACAATGGTATTATTAGAAGCCGGAAAACTTTTACAGATTGGGGAGGTATGGACTTGCGATGTTATTGTAACTTTAGGAGGGGAAGAAATTGTAACCTTCGGATTACAAGGGTTGCATAACGGGGAAATTGCTTTTGCTTCAGTTGTGCGTGGGTGATGAACCCGATCGGGTGAAAGTGCCCGTCGCAATAAGGGGGAGCCTGGCTCTGTGTTTTTCGGTCGATTGAATGGTTTCTTGGCAGAGACGGAAGCCGGAGAAAGGGACGATGTCGTGGAGAATGAGACTCCAGGAGAGGACACGGTGTTAGACGTTACTGCCAACGGACTAGGAGATCTGGTTGGAGAGGAGGAGATTGGAGAGGGAGAAGGAGTCCTTGCCAAAGGACTCAGTGGAATGTGACCGACTGACTTGCGGCGATTTGGAGAGTGTATGTTCTTACTAGAAGCATGATGGTGGTGAAGTTTATGCTTTAGTCCATGCAGACTGGACGGACGTTGAAAATGAGGACCGAGCAGGCCAGCTGGTCCAAGGGTTGCAGGACTGTCAGGCAGCGAAGATCCAGGGGAGCTTGAGGGTGATGAATTTGCTGTAGAATTGGGAGAATCTGTTAATGAGAAGATTCTCGCCAATGGGGGTGACTGTGAGGATCTACTTGTTGTGGGAGAACTTGGCTGTTGAACGTTTTCAAACGATCTTGCTAGCGACTGAAAACTTCGACTTGGAGCAAGTGAAGAATTTCCCAACGATAACCTCAAGTGTTGGATTTCGGCCGGGGTTCTCTTTCCGGCAAGAGTTTTCAAAAACAGAGATTTGCGTCGTTTCTCTGTACTGTCCTTTTTTGCTCGTCGAAACTTGAGCAGTGGAGTCCTTGCCATTTTTGACTGTCCAGGTTCTCGCTTTCTACCTCCTGACCTGATGGACGTATTTTCCAGAGGAGTAGCTCTCAGAGTCAATTGGTCACCTCCGGATACTAGCAAATGAAGCACCTGTGTATGAAGAAGACCTTGCGTCGGCTCGCCGTTTACCTAAAAAAAATATCAAAAATAGTCATTCATAATTACATAAATGAGGCGACAATGCGGTTTTTTAAAAATAAATCCCAAACTACTATTTTTAAAAAAACATATTAACAAACCTGTGTTATCAGATCACCAGGACGAAGACCAGCCTCAAACGCAGGACTTCCTTCCGTTACTTCCTTAACCAAATGTTGCACCGTATACACATTTGTATCCCCGAAATAAACTCTAATTGCCCTCAGAGTAAATCCAAGACCTTGCGGTCCACGCCTTAGAATAATCGGTGGTTTGAGACTGTTGATTAGGGGAGAGAGTTCTCGACATGGAGACGTATCTCGCGAACTCGCCGTGCTTGACCCACCCGGTGATTGTACTGAGTGTTGGGTGGTGGACATCAGGACGGAGGCAGGGTCGATTTCAGGTATCTGTAACGATAATCCAAAAGCCGAAGCACTCTTGACGACGTTTCGAGGAGTTACTGCCTTTTTAGAGGTTGGAGTTGATTGGTGGAGTGGTGAAGAGAGTCCGTGAAAAGAGTCAGTCTCGTCTACGAATTTTGAGGCATGAGAAGAGGATTCACTGGCTAATCTAATTTCTGTCATTATTGCTTCTGCATTTGAAGTAGAGATCGAAAACCGGGGGAGACAATCCCGATGTGCTTTCCTTCTTCTATGAACTTGCGGAGAGACTTCTTCACTTTCTGTTTGTGACGACTCGGGAGTACTTAGCTGGGGCGCAATTTTTGCATCGTTAGACGTTGATGGGGAGCAATTTGTATCAATTCTCTCTCCTCCTTCGGATGTGGTAGTAGCGTCGACACTTTTTAGTTTATCTGGATTGCATGTGCTACCAGATCCATCGCTTCCTGTCCCACTTGAGTCTTGACGATCAAAACTCTCTTCTGCCAATCTGGTTCGAGTTTGGGTTTTCCTGTATCGATGAGAACACGAAGAAAATCCAAACAGTGGTGAATCATCAGTGTCATCCGTGTCAACTTCAAGCTCATGCTGATAACGATCAACGCGAGCTAGAAATAGATTTAACAAGAAAGCAAAATGAGAAAATGATCAATTAATTAAATTATCGTTAAATAATCGCTACATTTATCATCATTATAGACTTCCGACATTAGAAAACTCACAATCGAAATACGACGTGTCTTCATCATTCGCCAGACTTGGAACAAATTCAACCTTTTGCCGTAATAACGAATTCCAATCCATGCCGTTGAAATACATGTGGTCTTTTACTTCTTGTGCTCCCGTCGTTCCCAGTCTATCCCTCGCAGTTTGTTGCAATAACGAAGTAATGAGATCCTTTGTTTCTTTTGCCACTGGCCAATCGTCATCTGGCGGCCATTCAATGTCGTCTAAAAATACAATTAGCATAACAATTATACCCTGTAATTAGTAAATTTTAAAAAATCTTAAAACACACCATTTACTGTATGAGCAAAAAGCTCTTCTGGAGTTTCTCCAAAAAATGGAACACATCCAATTATAAACTCGTACAGGATGACACCCATGGCCCACCAATCAACTGGTTTTCCGTATCCTTGGCGTAAAATTACTTCAGGAGCAATGTACTCTGGAGTACCGAACACTTGCTTGTCCGAAAACTGTTTCGTTTCGCGATCAATGAAGCCCTCGTACAAATTCGTGGCAACTGTAATATATATTAAATAGTTTGTATTGAGTCCACATTAAAAAAATTCGAAATAAATATAATAATATAACAAGCAAGAGTAGATCGCACTTACGGGACATTAGTCCGACTTTACTCAACCCAAAATCCGTGAGCTTGATGTGACCCAATGCAGTGATGAGCAAGCTATTAGATAAGAGTGAATAATTGTATTATTATTTTGTTTATCTATAAACTCTTGTTTATTTATGAGTTGATCTGTTTATGTTTTCGACGCTTACTTATCCGGTTTCAAATCCCGATGCACAATTCCGTAACTGTGAAGATACTCGACTGCTAAAACAGTTTCAGCAAAATAAAATCTGGCCATGTCGGGAGGAAGAGGACCCATATTTTTCAACAGATTTGCACAATCTCCTCCTTCTACGTATTCCATAACCAAGCAAAGGTGTTTCTATATTCAAACATATACTATATTATAGAAAACCCGAATGCTATGCAACACCACGCCAAAACATTATAAACACAAACCTTCGTTTCAAAGCTGCAAATCATGCTCACAACGAAAGGATTGTCGGTAAAACTCATGATATCACGTTCAGCAAATACTTGCTCCACTTGGTTCCTCAACATGAGGTTTTGCTTATTAATCTTCTTCAAGGCGTAGCGTTGACGAGTTTCTCGATGTCTGACGAGATAAACTGCACCATATGCCCCATTAGAAATCAGCTTTACAACTTCAAAATCCTGTTCACTTGGTAGTTTGGACTTTTGATCGTTACTGTCTGAAGATGGAACTTCTGAATTGTCTTCCGACGACGTAACAGCACTTCCGTTTTTCTCATTTTCCAGATTGTGAGTATTCAATTCTTGCTGCAATTCTATAATGTGAAGAATATTGAATTATTAGTGTTGTTAATTCTAATCAATTATTTTATTCGCTGATTTATTTTATGTACTCATAAAATTACCTGCTATCGGATCACGATTAAGCCCTAGCTTGCTAATGATGTATTGCGGAATATCAGTCTTCATCCCCTGTGTGACTTTGGCCTGCCCTTCAGCTTGCTCCAGAAGGTGGTAGAATTCTTCCGGATCTGGTCAAAAAAATGATATTTTAGTCCTAGAATTTGCAACATAAGTTCGTTAATAACTTAATAAGAAAATAATTTACCAAACTCGAGGCATTCTAACAGACGGGCAGGACGAGAAACCATTATGAGGAGTTTTTTAATTAAACCAGTTAAGAAATTTGCAGCTTCAGGTGACTTGTCCTTGGTTTCACTTAGGAGACGCTCCAAATTCTCTGACATTTCGTAAAAATATCGACTCGAAATTAATTTTTCTTGCGATTTAAGCAGACAGTCCCTCGCCATCTCAATTACTTGATGATGTACAAAACGAGCAATTGCTATCGAGTCGGGACTCAATGAGTCGCAGCCACCCATCGACTCCAAAGTTTCATTTTCATCGATAAAGTTTTTAAGTTTTTCCTCCATTTGATGTGTCGCCTGAGAAAAAAAGCCAAATCATTTTTCAGACAGAACTCCCAGAATTATTTAAATGCTCGTTATAACCTTTGGAAAGCGTTCCTTGTACATCGTATTCATTAAAACTATTTCATTCTCTATCACTGGTGAGCGGATCGGACTGCTGCAATGTGACGTGGAAAAAAAAACATTAGTAAAATCTTCATCCCAGCTTCCCCTCCCTCAATAACAATGTAACAAATGTAAGAAATTCATTCATTTTTATAATAAATGGCTGTCTGTCTGCCTACATACTACTGTCAATTTGGGCAGGAAAGAATAATAAAAACGAGAAATGAGACAGTTGATGACTGACTGATTTAAATTCTCTATCATCCTGCCAGTAGTCGCAATTGACAGTAGATAGTGATTTACACAGCAGCAGTAATAAAATACAAGTTCGGCGTATGCTAACCTGCAAGTTGCAATGCATAACCAAGCCAAACTGTGTGAGTGAGCAGCGTGAATAAATTTCAAAAAATTCAAAACCGTTATAGTAGACTTTGCAGTTAGCATACATAAAACATGAGAATTCATTGTAACGAACGCGGCAGAGAAGAATCGATTTGTTGATTAATTGAATAAATTAAGGAATAGGCAAGTAACACATTTTTTTCCACGGGAAAGATTACAGAAACCAACCTTCATGTGACGCTAGACGATAGGTTCATTTTAAGTTTCTCAAGTTATGAATGGTATGATTATAAATTTAAGAGTATAGCTTCAAATTTACTTTCTCTTGGAATTATTTGTTACTAATTGCTACTCTGATTTGACAAAATGGATTAATTGAAGATGGAAAAAATTTTGAAAAAAGAATTTTGTTAATTTTCGCATTTTTGTATTACATGCAAATATCAGAGCCAAATGCATTGGCATGCTATAATTCAGCATCAACTATGAGGCAGTAGCTCATCTCAGACTGGGCAAAAAGTCAGATTAGTTGCACCCGTAAGAGATTAATAAATTCTCAAGTCTGAAACAAGATGAGGAAATAGAAATAAATAATGTAAATTGTATAGTTGAAGGCACTTGAGAGTGAAAGATAGAGTAAATTGTGCGAGATAGGAAATGAATTGATTGATTGAATAAATTAGGCGTTAAAAAAATTAGAAAATAAATGGTACCTTAAACTTCGAGATCTGGGACGAAGTAGAGGAGAACGGTGACCGTCTTCTTCCAGACTAGGATTACTTTCATTGGAAGAAAAATAGCGAGGAATTGGCCCCGCACGGTCTTCCGTCCCTTGAGCAACAGTGTCTTTGACCAACTGATGCAACCTCTCTTGGCTAGAGCATTGTGACTAGAATAGAATAAAATAGATACTTAGCAATATGTTATGGAATTTTTCATACAAATTGCACCCAATGCCCAATGCTCACCGAAACCGTGGAACTGCCAGGCGTTGTTCCATATCCGGACGAGGGTAACGACGCCAATGACCACCGCCTACCATCACCCGCCCTCTTAATCGTTGCAAATGCGAAATTCTGACTAGGAGACATTCTTGGACTGTCCAAAGGACTTCCACCTGCACACACGAAATAATATTTTAATTGAATACAACATGATATTAATCAGTATAAAAAATGCAACCAGAATAACCTACCAATCGGAGAATGACATCGTGGAGGCAGTGTGGGTGAAGTATTTGCAATCAAACTTTTTCTGTGTTCTTGAACCCGACTACTTCTTCGAGGCAGGCACAACTCCTTCTGTTAACACAAACATAAAATAAAATGTGACTTCGATTTTGATACTCGACTCAAAATTTAACTTTAATTTAACTATTTAAATATGCGGCGATGCAGCAACAAGCAAAAAATAGCAAACATAACACATTTTGCTATTTAGTAATTAGTTCTATTAGCCCCCATAAAATATGATAAGCGCAGAAGACGTTAAGTTAACAGCTATATGGAGCAATGTTAAGCGGTGCTACCTTAAAATGCATTAGAGAGGTAACGGAAGGCAGTGGAAGAGTAAGATTGGGTCGTCCTTGTCGAATCTTTGTGTCTGAGATGCTCCTCGGAAGTCCGGCGGACGAGCTGGGTGCAACTTCCAAGTGTGAAGAAGAAGCATTCGCCGTAGTTGATGCTGTTGCTGTACCTTGTCCTTCAATCGTTTCACTTCTGGACTGTAGTAACGTTGTTGAATTGCAATTCTTTTCAGAATCGCCAACATGGTGACAACAAGTCGAGGAATCATTGCTAGAAACGGAAGTTGGATTTGGTGGTGGTGGAGGTGGTTGGCTGGATAGCTGCATGAGAACTGTAACAACAAGGCACGTGGTAACGATGTATTCTCCATTCCTTGTCGCCCAAATTGTATAATTTGTTGCACATCAACACCACAAATTTTGTTTAAATTTTTTTTTCTCCCGACAAGTTACAAGTGGATGGATCGAGTATCAAGAATCAAATGTAAACCGAGTATGACGAATGACTGACACATTGACACAACAGAAGAGTGAACCGAACATAATTTTCACTCTGAATGCATATACAATGCTTGTTTTGTTGCAAATTACAACAACCACCATCCCACCCACTAAAAACGTAAAGCAAACCAGTCCAGCTAAATGTATGAAAGAAGACGTGTAGTCGATGAACCAGTATTTTTGTAGTAGTTACACACTCGTAAAAATGCAAACATACAACATTCATGAAACAGAACATATATACACACAGACACGCCGTCCTATTGTATTTGGCAAATTGACCCTCAATTTTTATGGTATCTGTCAATGACAGTAAACAAGTGGATAAATAATGAACCACAAAATTGAAGTGAACGGCTCACTGTTCCACACTTTACAAATTATGACTGCTTCACCAGCATTACGTTCGTTATGTATTAAAGAACTGAACCGACGACTCTTTCCTAATCTGCGTAGCGTGTAATGATGCACCAAATCACCAGCACGACCATTATTCTTATCATTGCACTATTATGTTTTTCTGGAGAGGATGTCGAGGAGCAGCAGAAAAAAACTGATTCGAAGAGCGTCACAGGATATATGTAATCTCTATCTGACAGAGAGTAGAGAGAGAGAGAGAGAGATAGAGAACCGAGGAAAATTATGAACGAGAGAGATTGAAATACTGAATCCATCAGGCGAACACACGCGACCGATACTTCAAAAATGATTGGATTGGATCCCAAGTTCACTTGCCAATACAATGTTGTATATACATAAAAACAAGTCTAACCATGATGATAATAATAGAAATACAGGGAACCACAAACCACGGCATGAAATGGAAGTGGCCAAAGAAAGGAGAGATTTTGCAATATCTAAACTTGCACGTACTCCAGCAGGTAAGACAGCTAACAGAACACCACAAGCTCACAAGTGCAATGATGCGAGAGATGAGATATGAGATCCACCCAACCTTATGCAAAGTGAAATATTTAGCCAAGTAAATGTATACATCATTCTAGTATGTAAGTACCTATGAGATATTTTTCACTAGCCACCAGGAGGAATTCAACAAAGTCACAAAGTCAACTCAATCATCACCTGTGTACATATCTATGAATGACGCTGATGCAGCATCCTCATATTCAGTACAGATACTAGATACTCATGCCTCCTGCATCACCTTTTATTTATTATTTCAGCAGCAGAGAGAGAGAGAGACGTCGTAGTGCTAAATCGTCAAGTAAGGTTATTTCGTGAACAAATCACGATCACCATTTGGATTTCATTCCCTATTTTGAAGCGAAGGGTAATGGAAGTGAATTAAGCTATCACTATAATCTCAACCTGGCTGATAATTGCGACAAGAGGAGCTAATCCGTCCGTTCAGTCCGCACATCGCATCTCTCTCTCTCTCTTTGCCTCTGTGTCCCTCATAGATGAAAATAAAGTGTTATTATTTTTACAACCATACATTAAAATGGGAAGTTGACCATGTCAGCAATTTCCACAGCGTCACCACTAATAACAATTTCTAGATGAGGAACGAAATCTTGGACAATCCTTCCTCCGATCTAAACACTTTGTTGCTTAAGCTTATAGCTTGTTGCTCTTACTTATTAAGTGGACAGGTGTGGTAGTAAATAATGTTTAATTGAAAAGGCTGCAGCAACTACTTAACTGATAGCTGTTACTGGTTGGTTAACAAGAATAATGACGAGGGGACGGTTGATGTGCAGTAAATGTTGTTGATATCATTAAATGTATTTACGTGTAGCAATATTATGCATGCATTGCTATTGTCAACTTGCACAATGCAATGCATCCTCAACCACTACCATGTCCAATAAATGTCACCTCCATTATATTATCAACTCGTAGCCTGAAAAATGAAAAATTACAGCACAAACCCATTAATCTAGTCATCTACTCTATTATTTCGACGTGTGCATAATATGTGTGCATGCAAGTATAAACTGCGATATGAACTAAACTCTCTCTGACGTACAACCTGTTCTCATGATTCTTTACTGTCGTCACACAATACACACTTCAAAAACCCATGTTAACCACACACAAATTAAAATGAAATTGGAAAACCATTAAAAAACCATAAAATTATGAATGAATTGGGTATTTTTTTGGTACATATGAAATTACATACCTTTCCAGCTGGACGATTGTCAAATTAGTTGTGACAATTAGCAATTTTTTGACATGGACACACCATATTTAATTTCCCGTCGACAAGAAATATTATTGGTTTGCGGAAATGGCGAGAAATATTTCCTCACGGGAATACAGCCACCCACGCACCGCACAACTGTGAGAGAAGCAGCAACATTGCTATCAGAGATTGATGGATCAAGTTGCCCGTTTTAGATAAGGTATCTTCTCTCCGAAAAAAGAAGAGCATGTGTCTCGCAATAATAGTAAAGATATCACAAAAATGCACGTATAGTAGGAGCAGTCAAGTTGTTGCACATTATACTGTTGTTATCTGACAAGGGCCAAAGAGAAACTTGGATAAAAACAAGATTAACCCGATAAGTATGAGAGTGGTGAAAGAGCAAAATAAGTCAGTTGGCGTGGTCGCCTCACTAGCCTAGCAGCAGAATTGACTCAGCTACTAGATGCTACACACACTCTCACTCTTGTGAAAGTTCACATTGCAATAATCGTTACACAAGGAAGGAGAGGAGAGAGAGAGTTGGATACGGGAAATGAACAAATGTGTCTCCATTCTTACTTTCTCCACACCACATCCACCACCACCACCTCCATGGTCGAATGCACAACCACCAGTCACTCGGCCCTATTTACGACTTGCGCTCTCCAAAATTTGCCCTTCTCCGAATCCTCAACTTTTACTTCTTTCTCCGACTCGTAGAAGCATGAATGAATGACTCACGTTTCGTCCTACGTAGAGGATACAGAAATTATACAAAAACCGGCGGTAGTGGTAGGGCCCTTCAATTAATCTATTGAACAGGATCGTTTAAAACAAGAATGTCTGGCTGGAATAATAAATGATAGGCAAATTTATATTACTAATAATACAACTAACAATTTCAATTGTACTATTTAACAAACTAACCAGCTTACAATAATAATAAAACACACCTCCTTTCCAAACAAATTACTATTATTACTACTTTCTACTCTATACAAAGCCTTTATTATTATTAGTTTCGCTTTGCGCAAGAAAGCATCCCCAAGCAGCACAAATACCGAATACCCCAAATAGTAAACTTTCATCACTTACCGTCGATGCAGAAATGTTAGGAGCTGACCTCCCAAGTGACGTCTTTGATAACCTTGAGATATTACTTTCACAACCTCGGTATTCTGCTTCCGCTATATAAATACAAAATAAGAACAAGTCAGTCATAAAGTCATGTTAACCAATATTGACTGAGATGACACTCCTCCGTTCTGACCTTCACATTTAAGTTGAACTTTAATTTACTTACCCAAATAGAGAGAAGATGGGGAATTTTTCCTAGATCGAATATACCTCGCATCTTCTGAAACCTGCCTCGTCACTGATCGAAGAAAGGAAATATTTGGAGTGCTCGGAAAAGTCGTCGTGGTTAGGTTGACCACCCCCTGAAAGCTCGATCCTACACTCTTCGGAACCCCGTCCATGTCGAACTTTCTCCCAATCAGGGTGGTGGTAAGTAAGGGAGAGCCAGTGTGTTGCTAATTATTTAACAGCATGAATCACAACAACACTAACTACTAAACTAAACTACAGGCATCAATCACCTAAGTATTTCTAAAATATCAACTCTTTCGACTTCTCTCTCACCCTCCTCTCACTCACTCACTCCACTAACTACTCGATCTCACAACTCTCACTCCCAATTGTTTACAGAATAATTCAAACTCTCCCGCTGCTCCAACCATCCCCATCCCATCACAATATTTATTTTTAGACAAAAAACGCTAGGAATTGAAAAATGCAGTATGAATCATCGCCTAAAAACAGTATTTTGCCCGTCCAACTTTTTAAATGCGTTGTTAGGCCAAGGAATGTTGTACCCTTTGTCAGTTGAGAATTACTGATAATAAAGGTCGTCAATGTGAAGTGACTGTTATGACACTGACAGCGGAAGTTTATCTATTTGGTATTATTTTAAAAGGAGAATTCCTTCGTCAGCATTTTTGTAAATTGATTGCATACCAATATTGAATGATCCATCTCTCAACGAGATGTATATGCATACTATTATAAATGAAACTACCAGATATGACAATGACTGATCAGCTTAAACTAGTTTTGTGAACCATTAGGGATGGTTTTTGGACCATTAGGGATGGACAGGTGGGTGTAACTCAAGTAACTGGATAGTGACAGGGGATTTAATGGCTTCTCTGGATTCCCCAATTTGTGACAAGCACCTTATAATATTAGGAAAAATTCTGAAGCCATATGTTTTCAATAACAATGACTTTCAAAGTAGAAATACATATGACTGAAACAATTCATATTACACGAGCAATGCAATTTTTCATCTCATAAATTTGAAATTCTCCATTATATTTTTGTTTTCATGACAAAATTTTCGCAAAATTTTTGCATGAAATGCGACGAAGAGGTGAACGTGAACAACGGTGAACACTGCGACGAGAGAGCAACGTGATTTGGGACAGAATCTACGCGAGCAGGGTTGAAAAGTAAAATTCTGTCTCAATTGCTACACGGGAGGAGCAGTTCATGATCAATCGGGAGCAGTTTGCAATTTCGACCCAGTTTCTTCTAACTAATTAACGTAAGTATTATTGTCTTTCTTTTGGGTGTGACCAATCTCACCCCAGGTAAAGGGTCGGACTTTGTTCTTGTAATGATAATCATAATGACATTGTGCTAAGTTCTTGTTCTTTTTGTTCGTCGCACTAATAAGCCGGTGTGAAATCTTAAGTTTTGTTAATTAATTTGGGGACAAGTTACACCCTCACACTGAAATTATTTGCTAATGTATAAGCATGATAATAGATGGTTGCAATCCGTGTTGATATTTTAGTTATATTTTATGTGTAGTGCATATTTATTACTTCATATTGCCTATGTCCTTTGCGTTTTTATAATTTTATTATTTTTGAGCTTGTTATAAAAATATAAACGAGAGTAATGTTTTCTGGCAATATACCCTTTGATGCATTAATTGACACGTTTGCTTTCTGCAGGAAATGGCAGGAGCAGAAGATGCAGAGGCTGCGGCGTTGAAAGGGCTCGCCAGGCATTTTAATTCGGTCACCGTAACTGGAAGGGCAAATGTAAATTATTGTTCCTTATTGTATTAAAATTTATTCAGCATATTTCCAACTTCAACTCCTCTTTTCTTTCTTTCAACTAGGTGGCAAAAGCCACATACGCCGTCGTTGGTGGAATTGTCCTCCTCTTTGCTTTGAAACCCTCCAAGAAGAAGACAGCGACAAAATAGATATTTATTCGCCGTCATCATCACGAATGATCACCATCCCTTTCGTTGACATAGACGCTATATGATATATAATTTAGAGTACATTTTGTTCAGAGATGTAGTAAGCAGGCAAAAACAACCTTGAATAATAAACCAAGTTCAATTAATGTAGAGATGATGATAGCATATGGTGTTGTTGATTAAATTCTTTCTCGTGCTGTTTGAGGAATCTGTATATGCATATAAAACTAGCACCACTTGTTGTGAGGTCATGTGCAAGATAAGATTTGGGAAAGAGATTTCATTGAGATTAATTCTCCTTACTTGATTTGCATATAAGTTAGATCGTGTGCAAAAGTAATCAGTCAGTCACCGTTCACTGTCTTGATAGACACCATTCGTGGAGTTTCGTCATAAAAGTGTAAAACTTACGTTTTTTTGCCGGATTTTCAGTTGGAAGATACGAGGACAGCAAGATGCGTCTAGTTCAATACATTTTGAAAAATGACCCACAAGGAATGCGTCATCTTGGGGTACGCGTCGGCGAGGAAATCGTCAACATGCAATCCATCCGGAAAGGAGTGCCGAACACTCTGCTGGAAATGCTGACCACCCACAAGAACTTTTTGGATGAAGTTGAAACGTGAGAAGAATCTCCTTTTTTGTTTGTTTATACAGCAATTTAGATACTAATGTTTACATGTCCTTTACTTTTTAAGGATGCCAATGGACCAGTTTAAGGAGCGAGTGACAATCAACCAGGTTAATCTGCTGCCCCCAATTAGTGGCTCGGATAAGGTGGTCTGTGTCGGAATGAATTATGTGGATCATTGCGAAGAGCAAAACTGCCCTGTTCCGGAAGAACCGATATTTTTCAGCAAGTTTTCAACCACGCTTGTTGGACCATTTGATCCGATTCCTTATCCCAAAATGACAAAGGTGCGTGGTTTTAGATATTTGATAAATATTTTGCATTTAAATCACAAAACTAATTATGTATAATGCAGGAGCTCGATTTCGAAGTTGAACTTGCATTCGTAATTGGTAAAAAAGGCAAAGACATTCCTATATCTTCAGCCATGGACTATGTGCTTGGTTATACTACGGGTAATACAGTTATTTAATTATTTAAGCATTAGTGAATTGATGACCGGAATATAAATACTGTTTTAGCACATGATGTCTCTGCTCGAGATTGGCAACTTAAAAAGAATGGGGGTCAGTGGCTTATTGGAAAAACTATGGATGCTTTTAGCCCTATCGGACCACACATTGTGACAAAATCGGAGATTCCAGATCCCCATAATTTGGCTATCAAGTAAACTAATAAATAAAATAAATGTTTTGGCATCTTTGATGAACATAGACAATTGATGTGATCTGATTGATAGATGCCATGTGAATGGAGTAACGGAACAAAATAGCAACACTGGTCAAATAATTCATCGTGTCGACAAGCTGGTGTCATTTTTGTCCCAGTAAGACATGCCAATTCGATTAACATATATCATGATTACCTAATTTATATATTTTTACATATAGATTCTGTACCCTGCTTCCTGGAGACATAATACTCACTGGAACACCACCCGGTGTTGGCGTCTTTCGAAAGCCTCCACTATTTTTAAAGGCATGCACACATTTTCACATGAATATTTATACGATGCTGTATGATGTATGTAATTGAGTAATTTATTTACAGAAAGGGGATGTTGTGGAATGTGAAATTGAAAAAATTGGACTAATTCGAAACGAGATTGTGTAGATGAATGACAATAATACTCTACCATGAGATGTGCAAAAGATGCAAAACTCTGAGATCAACATTACAAAAAATTAGTTGACCAATAAACAAATCTTAAATAAGCAGATTATCGTATTTATTAAATCATAAAAAATGTTAGCCCATCATTACAGTAAGTAGTGAGAAAAATTAGAAATTATTAAAGGTCAAGACATTAAATTTTTAAAGATTAGCACATATCTCAAATGAAAAAAATGCAGAAAAGATACGAAATCAATAAATGTGACTATTACTCTCAGAATGAAAAAACGACAAAAATTGAACCATGCATGCTTTGATAAATGATACCCTCTTTTTAAGCCTTATTCTCTTCGTCCATCGGTTCAGTTGCAGCATCCTTCAATTCCTGCTTATACGAAAATGCAAATGATAAATTGCCTGATTTTAGTTGAATAATTTTGCACTTTTGGATTAGTTGAGGATTTAATATCACACAAATTTCGATTAAATATTTAATTACCTCGGAACACAATTTCTTGGGATTGGCAGCTTCGATGTCTTTGTTAATTTTACGCTTTCGTAACCCTCCATTCAACACGACGCCATTATTCTATACACACACAAGCTAATAGGATCATTTAAACGTCCTTTCATGCAATGATGGACCATTTTCTACTCATTTGGAAAATGAGCTGACTATGGAGCCATTAGTTAGCTTACCTGGTCGTCATTGTCGATCTCTTCATCGTTTTCCTCCTCCTCCTCCTCCTCAGCTTCGTTACCGCTTTCATCCACCTCGTCGTTCTCATCGTCTCTCCATTCTATAAACATTACCGAATTTGCATAAATATCCACCCACTTTATACATAGCGAAGGTAATTGTCATACGCTGCATCCCACCACCACCAGGCTCAATTTCCATGATTACATTAACCGTACCTTCTGCATATTCTCCTAAAAGGAAGACAGGACCCTTCCCTCGAATGAGACGAATTGTAGCGTTCTCGCTAATGAACATTTCCAAAGAAAGCTGCAGAGTGTTCTTGCCCAGATACGCCAAGGGGAATTTCTCCACCTTTCCACTATCAATCTTGGTCTCCAGCTCGAGGACGCAATGTTCAGTAAGGTCTGCATCGGGACCCAAGACGATCTATGTGCATGAATAAGGGAGCAATTAACCTAAATGACGCTATCATAATCATCTTTCATGTGAAAATAATGCCAAAGTCATGGCCTGACAATAATTAAGATTCCAAAAGGAATCCTTACCCGTTTCAGTGCGACTGTGTGCTGGACTACGTCTTCACCTTCGAAGGGTGGCTCAAATTTGTATTCAGAGGTGAGACCTTCCCCGACCTCGAGTTTCCTCACTGAAATTCACAATAGAGTTTATGATTAAATAGAGTTTAATGACAGTTTCCGTCAGTTCAAATATTTCGAAAATGCAAAGTAATATACACATTAAATAGTTCACTTACTGAAAATTACACGTCGATTCAACCCCGGTTGCAAGACAGCGGGTAGGCCGCTACCCCCATTGACGGCAGGTTCTAGGATCTTGGTCCCATTTTCGACAACACTGGTGTTCAAGCTAGCAGGCATTTTGAACTATGATAGACGCGTTTGAGAGGAGTTAGTACAGTGAATTGAGGGGATTTTTAGGAGAGTTAATGTTGTAGCTTTGAGAAGCTGAGAGAGACTAAGGTGAAATTGGATGCGATGCAACCAGAAGAAGTAAATGTCCAGAAAAATTTGGTAGACGACTACACTAATTTGCAAACGTTGATTTCATTTCGTTTTATAATGTGTCCAATTTACATTTGAACTCGACCTGAAAACTGAGCTGACTGGGCTAAGGAGAGCATGATATTGAGGCAGGATACATGAGCCGAAAATATGAGATATGCATAAATGATTTCCTTCTTTACATGATAAGATTCTTAAGCAGAGATAAAATATGTTATTCAAATCGGCTCATTAATTCATGACTCCTTGTTGGAGGAAATCGACATTTGATATGAACAGAGTGGTGGTACAGGCCGATTTTGATATTTTCTTAGAGATTTATTGCAATAATACTGCTCCTTCCTATTCACTACTCCTATTCTATTCAAGTGGGAATTTGCATGGGCTTCATACATACTAGAATTTCTCATGGAATTTTGGAGAAATAAATTCTCAGCTCCATTTTGGTTGATCGTCTTCTTGGATTTTCCAGTGTCCATTATTCTTGAGCATATCTGCACATATGTATCTACACAGGTAGATGTGCATTGGTTCAGTCGTTCGGGTTTCCTGGGCTCATTCTCGAATAGATGTAGATTTCCTTGGCCCCATAATTAGCAAGAGCAACGACATTTCCTGCACAGGTAATAAACTTGCCTCCAACGAGAAGCATGTTATCCACGAGAATGGATGACTCCAAACTTACCGTGATCTGAAATGAGATCAAACCCAAACCATTATAGGCAATAGTGCGGAACTGTGGTCTCTCCAGTAATGTTTCTCATCAGAAGAGAAGAAGCAGAAATTGATGGAACAGCCATAAAACGGGAATGAAACGGGGAGTTTGGTGGGGTGAATGATGTATTAAAGCATATATTTTGAGGTGGGTTCCTTCGTAATGGAGAAAGCCAGTGCCAAGAGTGGTACACAACAATAAAAAATCAGGTATCACAACAGGAACCAAGACAGATAAATAGCGAGAATGGGAGAGCAAAGACTAGACAAGGGCACAAATTCAACTTTCACTACTACTACTGCTACGAGTACTATGTAAGCATAAAGCACACAGTATGGGAGCTTCCATTCCGAATATAAGTGCAACAAACCCACAAAATATATGTGGCGGAACAATTTACGTCATATAGTAAACATTTGCTACCTTGGGCTGCTTCCGCTTTGGTGGTTTGTTTCTCTGAATGCTCTTTATTTTATTTTTTATGTTTGTAAATCTGTTCAAGCTCAGCCTCCGAGGAACCCCCGCGTCCTCCATGGTCAGTTTCCAGATGAGAACGGCGTCATCCTCCGCCACGGTGAGGAGGAGACTTTCTCCGTGATGAGCTAAGAGGTCCATGCTCCCGATCCAGCGGGAATGCGCGGCCACTTTCACCAATAATTTTCTCGTCTGGAGATGAAATATTCGAAACAGTCCGGAGCCATAGGTCACAAGGATGCACCCCTCCCAGACTCCCATTCCAGTGACGCATTCCTCATACCTACGAAAATTTCCTGAAATTAATCCGAGTTTACTTTTGTATGTGTGTCCATTTAAAGAAAGATCAGGTACGCACGGAGTTTTGAAACAACACACTTTTACGGCCTTGTTGTGCTTAATTCTCCAAACACGAACGGTCCCAGATGGACTTCCGGTCGCGAGAATGTTTCGGCGGCTGCACATTTGTGTAATGCTTTCGCCTTGCACTTTATCCGTTCTTCGAAAGCTCACTTTTCCATTGCAAAATTCAAACACGTGAACTTCTCCACGACCATTTCCTGTCATAAAGAAATATTTTGGTCATACATTAATTTCCTTTTTGCACATTTCTCGTGATGTGGTTGGAATTAAAAAGTAAAATTGCCCAAAATCAAACAAACTCGGAAGAAGATGTAAATATTTAGCAAGTAAAAAGCAACGAAATGAATGAATGGGAAAGCTGTATGCTCCATTCGGCTGAAATATTTCCCGTCACTTTAATGTCCATCTGATACCGAAGGAATAGAGGAGAAATCTGTCCGTTTGACAGAGTAGAAAGGTTGGTGTGCCCAGAATAAATTACTTTTCGAAGACGAACCAACACAATAAATAAACTTGGATTGATGTCCCCCATCACAAACTGACCAGAGACCAACAGCAACACAAAAACAGCCCAATTCATTCATTCATTCATTTGACCAAGGTAACATGACGATGCTTTTAAATTCACGTCTCATTCATCTCCTTGGTCCATACTAAAGAGAGACGGATTCGTCTAATCTAGGTTTCAGCTCGACTGAAATAGCCGTAAATTCTTTGACTGTCGAAATGCCTACCTGTCAGTATTTGCGAGGATGTAGCACTCACGTTTCGACACACCAGGTCTGGGACGGACTCTTCAGAGTACTCGTGACTACAAAGGGGTCGGCTTCCGTCTTCGGAATAAATACTGATGCCCATGTTGCTCACTAATATCAGGACTGTCAATTCGTGCTTTTGCTTCTTTAGTCGAATCCACTTGGCCTACATGCGGAGAATGAAATAAATGTATGTACAAATTGTGGAAACATGACGGAAAAATGGATAAAAAATTGGACACGCATATAATAATAATCCGTATCATGTACTACGTCCTCCTTACAAGAGTGATGGTTGGCTTCACAAGTGGGCTATTGACATGCGGAATTTGCACGGTTTGTAGAATATTGCTGGAAAACTGGTCAGAAGAGTTGAGATCGACTTGATAAATCATGAAAATCCCTTTCGATATTATTCCAAGGAGTCCGGAAAAAGCGTGTCCATCAACCTTGCTATCATCACGGGGAGATTGCTGCTGCAAAGCTTTACAACTTTTGCAGTACAGCGACAGGTTGGCAGACACGGCGGAAATGGAATATTCTAAATTTACCGTGTCCAGAGGGACAAACGGACCTTTAAGCTCCTTTCCATTTGGTTTGGATCGTGGAAATATTTTTAAAAACGACGTCATGATGATCTGTGCAAAAGAATAATTCGACTGGTATAATGGGACTGTGGTGCATGCATTTATTTGTACGAGTAGTGGTGAATCTAGGTGGTAAATGACGGTTTCTGTTGTGCCTGCCCGTTTCCAAGTGCAATATTATTGAATTTTTTAGTAAAAGTTGTTTTCCCTGGTTTTGAGATAGGATTACATGCATTATAACGTATGCCACATATGAGATTGTGTAGATGAATGACAATAATACTCTATCATGAGAGATGTACAACTCTAATCAACATGACAAAAAATTAGTTGACCAACAAACAAATCTTAAATAAGCAGATTATCGTATTTATTAAATCATAAAATGTTAGCCCATCATTACAGTAAGTAGTGAAAAAATTAGAAATTATTAAAGGTCAAGACATTAAATTTTTAAACATTATCACATATCTCAAATGAAAAACATGCAGAAAAGATACGAAATCAATAAATGTGACTATTACTCTCAGAATGAAAACATGACAAAAATTGAACCATGATAAATGATACCCTCTTTTTAAGCTTTATTCTCTTCGTCTGTCGGTTCAGGTGCAGCGTCTTCCTGTATTTAAACAAACGAAAAAATTCTTTATTTGCACAACTTTAGATTATTCAGGTGGAGGGATTTTATGTAGGAGTAAGCTGCCCACCTTTAATTGCGATACGTTATTTCGCTAAAATAATGCAATCCGTGCTGAGAATTTTTTTCAATGCATCTGAAAAGCAAAATTTACGTACATTCTTAGAAATGGGGTTACGATTATCACCAAAACGTAAACGTATGTGACTCTACCGCCGTGGTTATAAATTTGTCATCGATTGGTTACAATTGTCACCGACTAATTATAAAGTTTCACCGACTTGGTATTAAATTGTCAGCACAGCAGAGCTGGGTGATTATTCGTTTTTGAGGGTGGATTAAGGATTATGGATTAACCACAAAATAATGTGGATTGTGATTAAATTATTTTCGTCAGATTAATTCATGTCAGGATTAATCCGGATTAATCCATGAATTCTGGAAATTTCAGGATTATGGATTATGGATTAATAATCCGGATTATTTTGGTGATTAATGATTTTTACACTACCTACAGATATATCTAGCCCAAAAAATTTAAACTATGTGGTTTCACATAAAATATTTAAAACGCCAGTTTCAATTGATATATGTAGCACAAGGCAGCAAAAACATGTTAACTCTTCAAATGGTAGCCGACAGGACAAAGTTGTGAGAACTTGAGACTTCAAGCTACAGAGTGGGATGAAATAGAACTACGGTAATTGAACTGAGTAATCCAGATTGAGAATTAATCATGAATACCTAATCATGATTAGTAATCATGATTGGGATTAATCGGGATTAATAATCATGATTAGTAGTCATGATTGGGATTAATCAGGATTAGTAATCCGTAATCACGATTACGGATTAATGACATCTAATGGGATTATTCCCGGATTAATTCAAATTCCAGAAAAATCTGGATTATGGATTGGGATTAATCTACAAAAAACTCTCATTGTCGGATTAGGGATTATGGATTAATAATCCATAATCCGGGATTAAAATCCATAATCCTTAATCAGGATTATCCCAGCTCTGCAGCACAGGTAATACATTTATAACCAGTTGGTGACAAATTCATGGTAAAGTCACCTACGTTTATTAAGGGGTGAGAGCCCTTTATAAGATCGTTATGTCCGTCTGTCCGTAGCTCCGATAACTGTTGAACGGAAAGAGATAAAGACTTGAAATTTTGAACATAAACACTTAACGTCAAGAGACAGGACGAGTTCGAAGATGGACACTGTGACATCGTCACCTGTGACGATGACGTCGTCACAGTGACGAAAAGTGACGAAAAAGTGTCACGTGTCAGTTTTGGCATGTGACACATCATTTTTAACTATTTTTCAATGAGGAATTCGAAAATTCATGTCATTTTGCGCTTGGACGTCACCTGTGACGATTACGTCGTTACAGTGACGAAAAAGTGTCACATTTAAGTTTTGGCATGTGACACATCATTTTTAGCTATTTTTCAACGTCGAATTCAATGGTGACCTCCATTTTGACCTCAGAGGTCACCTAAAGGTCATAGGGCATATCTATGTCAATTTGACAGGAAATTTAACCCCGAATTCAATGGTGACCTCCATTTTAACCTCAAAGGTCACATAAGGGTTATCAATTGCTAAATTTGACACATCTGGGACACAAACGTCGAAAACACGTCAGAAGTGTCAATTTTAACGAATTTTTGAACATAATATGATATTCACTTTGACGTATGACGCACTTCTTTCACCCCTTGGTTACATGCGTTGTAACGGTTTATTTTTTGGTTATAATCGTAACCCCATTTCTAAGAAATTCGTAGCAAAAATCGCAATTAAACCAACTGATTAAATAACTTATTATTATTATGAAGGTAAAATGAATAGACCAATAAAATAACCCATCGAGCCCCTGAGTCATCAACCCATTGAAAAATTTCCAGTGGAGTTATATAGCCCGAGTCGACGTGTTTTAAAAACGGGCAAGGGTTTCCACTCTGTGGGGCTGATTTTTTCTAAGGCGAGACCCAAACGTAACCATGCACCCAAAAACATACGTGCATGGTTACGGCGAAGCCATAGTATGCAGTTAAGTGCCCACCTCAAAACAGTCAGACAAGATTGTGAGAGAACCATAAGTCGTAGAAAAATGCGGTTTCGACCAATGGGTAGTAAATTCTGTGTAGTATTGTTTATAGATCTCTGGGCTTAATCGGTTCATACCTTCATGGTGTATTTCTCGTTTTAGTGACTTTTTTTTCTGTATCTCAAAATATTCCGCTGAAAGTGAAAAATCGGCAAAGGGAAATCGAAAGGGCTTAAAAAATTATTAAGATCATTCTTTATGGTCATGAAAATCGGATGCAAAATGAGGAAGTTATGGCGGTTTGAAATTTTTAAAATTCAGTTACATCCATAGCAACTATAGTAAGGAAATTCTTTATATGTATGTGTAAATGATGGCCCGGGTCAATGCCCGGGTCAGGGCTTATATAATCGTCACGTCCGTCTGTCTGTAAATTTGTAATGGCTCGTAATGGAACAATATGAATTAAGTAAAATCGGAAACATATTCATTTGGAGGGACCCGAAAGGATTTATTTTAATCGTCGTATCGAACCGCAATTTGTTAACAATTGCTGCCGATTGCTACTAATGTAAGAATGTGAATTTAAATTAGAACCATTAGTTTTTATTTAAAAAATATTGATATGCAATTATGAAAAAATTTGGTGCAATACTTCGGATTGGGTGATAGCAACCTTTTCTTGACTCGGGCATATCAAGTCTGCAATGTGGGTTTTTAATGACGGAGTTAAAAAATTGTTCACTTAAAAACGACAAAATAAACGAATTTAAAAAAATAAAACTAAGGCGAGAGGCGCTATTAGAAACAAGAAACAAGCCCTCCCACCAACACCCCCGTCTCGCCGTGGCCCCATTAATATTTTTATATCTGGGGGGTGTAACCACAATTTGTGATTCAAACCTTTAACTACTAATGTAAACTGCATTTAAAATTGATATATAGTACAATATTATATTGCACTGCACTTTTAAAACCTATTACCTGTAGTTCTTACATTAATTTGAATTTAAACATGCAGTCTAGCATTAATCAACAGGAAGCAGGAGTCAGGATAAATAGATTCTTATAAACCCCGAAACATTTGTGTAAAATGTTTAATAAAATTGGCAAATATGTATAAAAACATTTTTTTAATTTAAGATTTTTGATTAAAGAAAATCTATATATCAGAACCAAGACCCTAAAATTTCAAGTCAATCGGTATTGTTGTTGCAAAAGTTTGGAACATATACATACCCGGACTCTATTCCTCAATCTTCATACAAAAAATGAAATATTTACTTCTTAAAACCAACTTTTAATGCAGGCAATCATGTGATTAAATACATTCCAAATTTGCATTCAGAAATTTTAGAATTGAGCTAGCTGCTCTGGTAAATGAGTTAAATAAATAAAGCTTTCGTATTTTGATTTCGGACATTTGTGTAACAATTTTATGACACTTTCATGAAAATGACATGTACCCATGTAGGCATACATCACATTATTGGTTTTTTAAATTGTGTATAATGCAGGAAAGAATTTCAAAAAATAAAATTGTAGTTACACCCCCAGATATAAAAATATTAATGGGGCCACGGCGAGACGGGGGTGTTGGTGGGAGGGCTTGTTTCTTGTTTCTAATAGCGCCTCTCGCCTTAGTTTTATTTTTTAAATTCGTTTATTAAAATTCGAATTCACACACTTGCATATAAGTAGTTAGTGATCCCTATACCAAATTTCAGCTCGATAGGCTTAATGAAAGTTATCGTGACAGACAAAACGGGCAAATAAGTTCTGACTCGAGCTAAAAATAAAGTTTCTGCTTAACTAAGTATATATTTTTATTTTTTATTGCAAATAATTAATTTGACCTGACCTTCAAATAAAAATTAAGGAAACACAATAGTCAATAAAAACACAAATACCTGCTGCGTGGCTAAAACGAACTCCTTCACCGTCCGTTTCCTCCAAGATTGCTATCAGCGACGCTGCGTTAGCGCCGTTCCCGTGGCGGTCTACCCAAGTAGACAGGATCTGGTTTTGACATAATTATTTGTTAAAAACATGGTGCACATAGAAGTATAGAATTTTGATTATTAACGATTGGATTTTTTAAATTTATGAGTCGATCATACCTGTCTTATGACTTCTTTTGGGTGCAACACACCCACGGCAACCATTTTCCAGAAGGGCCACACGTCGTTCCAAACAAGTAGCGGAAATCGTCGATAAAAATTTTGAATTTCTCGAGAAATGGCGCTATCAGTATTCAAAATACCCACAATTTCGGATACCGTAACCATTTTCATCTTCTCCGCCGTTACTGATGAAAATGAATTGCCCTGGTTTAAAAAAACATTTTAATTATCCAGACATTTCAATTTGAAGTTCAAAGTATCAGTCTGAGAATGAAAATACGAACAAATTCAGTACCGAATCCACACTCAAAGTTGGTTCGCAATTTGTTAAAATTTGCATATTTAGAGACGAATCGAAATTAATTTTGCGTTCAACTTTCACTATTAGTGATTCCAATAACATATCAAGCAAGAAGGATTTGATTTAGCGGGATAATGATGTACAGTACAGAAGCGAAGAATACGAGTTCATGGTAAAGAAACTAACACGAGTGCTGAAAGTGGACTACTTCTTTTTCACATACCTCGACGATGGCGATTCTATTAGTAATGAGAGATAAAATTAAGTGGATTAATTCGACAATGCGGCATTTATGTCGACCCAAGTGTCAAGGCATCCTATCCTTCACATGCTAATTTTTACCAAAATTACCCCAAAATCGGTCACATGCTTTATATAGAGTCCTCTATTATAGCATTTCTGTCATGAATTGGAACCGGCTTGTATTAGCTGATATTTATTGACAGTTGTATGAAGGTTTAGACATTTTGTCACCATTCGGGCAATATTTTTCACCGTGCGGTTAAAAACATCATCACCTCTTGGTTAAGTCACATATGTACACCGTTTGGTGACGATCAACACCGGGTTTTTAAGAGTGTAGCATATTTATATTTTTTTAAAGTTCAAAATTGATATTTTACAACATTCCTTGCTTACTCAAACTAAAACCTATAAAATAGATATAATAAACGTATACGCTTAATATTGTACCTATGTATGTATGTATAGATACATATCATATAATACGCAACGTATGTGTATATTTATAATTTTAATCAGTAATTATTGACAGGGGGACTCCTATTACTATTATTATTTGTGTGCTAACCCTTTCAATTATTTTATGTTCCATTCTTTCATGCAAACTGCAATACATGCCCACCCATCCACACCCGCACATGACTCGGTCGCCTTTAATGATTTGATACATTACATCACATCATATTGTACATTACCAGTAAGTAACAATGCCATATAAAAAAAGTTATTGTTGATTTTTAATAATCGTTCGTTTTAGAAGACTGATCACCAGAGTGATTGCAAGAAATAAAAAACAAAGTGAAGAAAAGGTCAACAGTGGTTGGTTGGTTTCATTCAACTACGACAAATACGACAACAACATAGCAAAACACGATTGATACATCTCTCACCTGTTCTACTATTTTTGTTCTCTAACATTTTTTGTGCAAATTGAAAAATAAGTTTGTATTGTTGTCTTGTGGAAAAAGTGAGTTGCTGGACTGCCAAAGCAGCAGGCTTGTATTGGCTCAATGCCTCTGTCGCGTTTTCTCGTTATCGACATACTCACAGCAGCGATCAACTATGCTGAGAGGCTCTTCTCGTCATGATGGCATTCCTAACAAGCAATCCGCCAAAGGTATTGTTTTTGTATGATAAAAGAAAGTGGTCTATATGTAAATAAAGATGATAACAATGGTCAATCTCTTGTCCTATATATCAAGATCCAGATAGGGACAGGCAAAGGGAGCAACAGCGAAAGGAGAGAGCACAAATGCTTCCAGATGATAAAGAAATTCATGCCGGAACTCATGATTTGTTCAATGCACCCGTTAAAGTGATAATCAAATTAACCTACCTTACGTCATGAACATATGATAATGAACAAGTTATGACCTTTTTTGTAATGATGTTAACAGGTTAAACCATCTATTGAAGACACAACAAGCCTCCAAATTCGAAACAGTTTGGGAAATTTTGAGCCAATTCGGCGTTTGATGGAATATCCTGGAACGTCTCAACCACCACAAGCACAAATACAACAAACATTTTTAACGGGCCCTGCTGCTGCTGCTGCTGTGGCGGCGGATCGAGGATATCATTCTGTAACGTCAGCAAGTAGTGCGCTAGCACCGCATCGTAATACTAATCATAATATTCACGACCCTCCAGCACCACTTCCACCATCATATCGTCCCCCTCCATCTTCGTCAAATTCATTCCCTCCGACTTTACCCCCCGAGTCGAACAGTACCAAGTCATTATCAACAACGCATAGGCAAAAAAATAATGAAAAAAATACTACTAACAATGGAGTTCTCCCAGCATATGTTGTCCGACTTCGACCAAATTAGTTTCAATCGATCTCAAATTTAGTTAATGTGAAATTTGCACTTAGAAATTTACACGATTTGCAAATGCTCAGGTTTGACAGGGATACATATAAGCATCTGAAGAAGAAAAAAGGCGCAGTAAATTCGGAAAATGTAAAATTTGTCAACTTTGCACCGAGTTTTCTCCTCTTCGGATAGAAATATCTCTGCCAAACGTGCCCAAATGGAGGTCGTGTCTTTTGCAAATTTCATATTAATTAAATTTGTGATCGATTAACACTAAGTTGGTCGAACTAGGGAGCATATTCTGGAAAACCTCCATTGTAAGAGGCTACGGACAAAAAAGGCTCATTAAGATATCCTAAAGCTACCTTTTCCTAAACTCGATGTTAATTAAGATAGGGAAAATTAAGACAATTTTACTGGATGATTTAAGATATTCTCAGGGCCCATTAATAGCCACCCAAATAAGAAATTATTCCATTTTCATAATAGCAATATTGACCTCGTTCACTTTTAGTTATTTTCGCCATATTTTAGGTTTAGGATAGAAGAGTAAAAGTGTGCCTTTTTTTCTGGGCTGAATATGTCTCGTTCATCACACTTAAGCAGAGAAAGAGAGAGATGAAATCGGAGTGAGATTCATTCAGCATCTCTGAAAATAATTTTCCAGCCCAAATAACCGTACATATTGTGAATGATGGGCCATTTTCTACTCATTTGGAAAATGAGGGAGCCATTAGTTAGCTTACCTGGTCGTCATTGTCGATCTCTTCATCGTTTTCCCCCTCCTCCTCCTCCTTAACTTCATGACCACTTTCATTCACCTCGTCGTTCTCATCGTCTCTGCATTCTACAAACATTACAGAAATTTGCATCAATATCCCCCCACTTTATACGTAGTTATTTGTTATTTGGTAATTGTTATACGCTGCATCCCACCACCACCAGGCTCAATTTCCATGATTACATTAACTGTACCTTCTGCATATTCTCCTAAAAGTAAGACGGGACCCTTCCCTCGAATGAGACGAATTGTAGCGTTCTCGCAAATGAACATCTCCAAAGAAAGCTGCAGCGTGTTCTGGCCCAGATACGCCAAGGGGAATTTCTCCACCTTTCCACTATCAATCTTGGTCTCCAGCTCGAGGACGCAATGTTCAGTAAGGTCTGCATCGGGACCCAAGACGATCTATGTGCATGAATAAGGGAGCAATTAACCTAAATGACGCTATCATAATCATCTTTCATGTGAAAATAATGCCAAAGTCATGGCCTGACAAAAAATAAGATGCTAAAAGGAATCCTTACCCGTTTCAGTGCGACTGTGCGCTGGACTACGTCTTCACCTTCGCTGGCTCAAATTTGTATTCAGAGGTGAGACCTTCCCCGACCTCGAGTTTCCTCACTGAAATTCACAACAAAGTTTATGATTAAATAGAGTTTAAATATTCGGTTAAAATATTTCGAAAATACAACATAATATACACATTAATTAGTTTACTTACTGAAAATTACACGTCGATTCAACCCCTGCATTCCCCGGTTGGCGTTCAAGCTAGCAGGCATTTTGAACTACGATGGACGCGTTTGAGAGGAGTTAGTACAGTGAATTGAAGGGATTTTTAGGAGAGTTAATGTTGTAGTTTTGAGAAGCTGAGAAAGACTAAGGTGAAATTGGATGCGATGCAACCAGAAGAAGTGTACATGTCCAGAAAAATTTGGTAGACGGCTACACTAATTTGCAAATGTTGATTTCATTTCGTTTTATAATGTGTCTAATTTACATTTGAACTCGACCTGAAAACTGAGCTGAGCTAAGGGAGCATGCTATTGAGACAGAAATCCAGCCAAATTTCACCTGAGGTTGGAGATTTTAAAGATTTAATGATGTTTGGCTGGTTTGAATATTTAAATTGGTGGTGGTGTTTGTGATGATAACAAATTAACTACTTCACTGCCCTGCAAAAGCCTTCGCCAAACATTGACACAGTGATAACTCCAACAATTGGTGACATAACAATTTGAAATTTTTCAGGATTATACTCCATCGAATTTCTGGTGAGATACGACCCCAAATTTTTCTTTTGACCTCAAACCCCAAAAGTGACCTACCTCAAGGAATTTGTTTCCTTGGTGTTTTTATTTTTATAAAGTTGGCACAACTCATCCTGAACATTTTGATATGTTGATTACCTCTGTGCGATTTTTTTACGCCCACAAGGATTTTTGGAAAAATGTAGTTTTGAAAAGTTATAACATTGGGCTTATGGGGGAAAACTTAAAAACTAGTCAAAACTACATTTTTCCAAAAATTCTCGTGGGCGTAAAAAAATCGCACAGAGGTAATCAACATATCAAAATGTTCAGGATGAGTTGTGCCAACTTTATAAAAATAAAAACACCAAGGAAACAAATTCCTTGAGGTAGATCACTTTTGGGGTTTGAGGTCAAAAGATCATAACCTTTGACCTGGTCATCAATGTTCTAAATTTGGAGTCCTATCTCATTAGAAATGCGATTGACTATAACCCTGCAAAATTTCAAATTGTTGTGTCACCAATTGTTGGAGTTATCACTGTGTCAATGTTTGGCGAAGACTTTTGCAGGGCAGTGTAATTAGAGGAAGAAAATGTGCATTATGATAATTATAATAACTTTCCAAATTCAAATATAATACTCATAAGTAATTGAGACAAAAGATTTTTAACTTGGCAGAGGTGTAATAAACTGTTGTTGTCTACAATCCGCGTCATAGTCAAATTTTCCTGTAGCAATTACACATTTTCCTGCTTCCGGATCAAAAATAGTATCCTCCCTGCACGTCTTCACGACATACTGTCTTCCGAGGCACCTAAAATATCATTTATTACGTCATTGCTAGGGAAAAACGGTACGCAAGGAAGTGATCAATAATTAAGAATAAAACTCATACTGTCGATATCTCGAGCAATCTTGAGAAACAGCCTGTCGAACATTATACGGCCAGTCGCATTGTCCCAGTCTAGGATTATACGCGGTTCCAGGTCTATGCAAACAAATTTGCACCCAAATTAACTTTCAATCTACATAAATTGTTGTTCATCCGCATTTGTGTGTAATAATGAAGCCAAGAAATCTTATTGTAGAGTTTGCTATTGAAAGCAATTCGCTCATACCCACAATCCTTAATGAAAATGCGTCCGTCCTCACACTCGACGAATTTGTCGCAAAATTCAGGGTGAGGAGCAATATAGTTGAAAGTACATGCCAGATTTAGCCTGTTACTGGTGGATCGCTTATGCCTCCTCAAATGCGAATGACCATAATTAACATTGAATGAAGAATCGTGCTCCAGGGAGATGGGCTTTTTGCACTTTGCTTTATAAATATGAACGCATTCCTCCTCTTCAAAGTCGTAAGCTGTGGAGGGAGGGCATTCCTTGATACGCAAGGTTCCCTTAATGTCACACTCAATAAATTGTTCACACTTGTCTGGATGTGAAGTTTTGTATTTATCTCCTGGTTGGCAGTCATAAGTGCTAAAATCTATTCTCCGACTTTCACAGTCCACATTGTAGGGCAAGTCGCAAACGAGGGAGAGGGGATTGAACAGCGCCCCAAGCCCACAAGTCTGCTCTTGAATTTTTCCATTACTGCAAATCTCAAATTTATTGCAGTACTGAGAATGCGGCTGAATATAATAGTCATGGGTCGATCCTGTTGAACAGCGTCTGCTCATTTTCCGGTCTTCTCGAGACGATGAAGTTTCTCGTTTAATAACCCGTCCTCCTCCTCCTCGAGTAGTTTTCACTTTGTCGGATGTCGACTTTTTCAGAGGGTCGTAATTATTGCTCAGCAGCTTTACTCCTCCTGATGATGAACAGTTGGTGGTAGCAAGAACGCTTTTCTCCTTATCGCAAATCAAGAGGGTTGGATGGAATTTGGTGCCTTTGGGGCACATTTTCACGTATGGGACTTTCCCAACACATTCAACAAACTGGGTGCATGAGACAAAATATGAAAAGTTTCCAGACAAGTTTGCACAGGAAAATGAGGACTTCCATGAGAGACCAGTCGTCGTAGTGGTGCTGGTGGTGGCCCCGTTGCTTGAGTTAAGAGTCGTGTAATTTGTATCCGCTTGAGTTGAGGCGACATGATTTTTTGCTGTCGAAACGCCATGCCTGGCGAGGACATTAGTTGAATCAGTCTGAGGCTGATGGCTACCACTCTGACGACGACTTGCTGCTGATTGAGAAGGATCATTTGACTGGAACAATTTGCGAATGATCATCATATCCTCGTACTCAGCGTCGTCTGTAAAGGAAAGAAAGTAAAGATTGTATAGTCATCAAGTTGAAAAATGGTTAGTTTTAGGTCGAAGGAGTGAAGAAACATGGCATTGCGTACCACTAAAAAGTGCCCTTTTGCAATCGGGTTGGACAAATTTGCATTCACGACTCGATTCAGTGTCACATTTCCTCCGAAACGTAACATTGGCCGGTCCGCACTCTCCGGTGAGGGCACAAAGTCCATGAATCACTGCTCTGTAAGAAATTAGCCCAGGAGTGAAATATCGGTTTCTTTCTTTGCACCAATATTTTTATATGTCGTCATGTATTACTTTCCATCTGGATGTGGACATAGCTCTTGATACAGCTCGCGAGATAAATCTTGTCCGACCAGAAACGTTCTTGTGTAAAGTTGTGGTTCAGTCAAGTCGCCACTTTCTCCGGCGGTGGTGGCCTTTGTCTCTGTTGACTTTGACAAGAGGGCAAGCAATTGGTTTGGGTGATGATGTTCATCTTCGCTTTGGTCTTTTTTTATTTGTTGGGCGTGGGCCATGACAATAACGATTGTCGTCAACAATGACACGGTCAACCATGAAGAATGCATCCTTTCGGTTCTACTCAACCACCGTTTTTTGCATGTGTACGTTACCTTTTTAATAAATGACTTTTATCTCTCTGATCCAGAAAATATTTGGAATAGATGGATGTGGAAAAGTAGTTTTCGTTTAGTGTACATGCGAAGGAATGTCTGTCATATCGGAAAAGTTGGTGTATATGCTCGCTTCCAGAGTTCATTTCATTTCCTGTTGCACACGGGAAATTTAACCACAATCAGCGACATTCGCTCTGCGAAATGAAACAGTTGTGCTACGTGCTGTGTAATCACATTTGGAGGAAATATTGAAATAAAATATTTGACATTTGATATTAAAGTCGAAATGAAGTTTCATCCATAACACAAACATGATACATTACATATGCGAAGCTACGATATTTTGGTTAACCAACATGTCAAATTCCCGAGATAAAGCTTTTCAATGCCTGTTGTGAGATCCTTTCTTAGGATTTCATTTATTTCCAAAAGTTCTGGATTGATCTGGATAGATGTTTGGGACCGGTAGTTGATTTGCATAGATTGGTCTGGAATAATTATTTAAGATGATAATCATAAATTCCTTATCATGGCATTCAAATTTTCAATTTAAATAATTTCTCCCTTCAACTCATATCCTAGATGAAACCTATGCTATGCTCTCGCAGCACGTAGTCATGAATCTGCATTTAAGGAAGTGCATATCTCTGCCGTCTTAAATACATACATACACATGTCCATCATCTCGTGTTATGTATGGCAAGAAAAGACCGACAAAATAAACTTGTCAAGTTGAAGAACAGAAAGCGACAAGTTTTTCATGGGGAGGAAAAACACGAAATAAGTTAACAATTAAAACTGTCGAAATAATGTCAGAGTTTGGAAAACAAAATATTTTCCTTCCGACAACAGTTTCCAGGTATCAAATTCCCAAATTAGAGTATGGCTGCCGATGGTTAGAGGTACGTTTTTTTATTTTTTAGTTCCTACCATATCGTTTTACCTGGGGAGAACTTTTTCCAGTTTTCTCTCCCATTTTCTAATTTCACTCATCATAATAGAAAAACCCTGTTGTTATGTCGTCCTATAAAACGAACGCTCAATTATGACCAAGTGGTAAAAAACTTTTTTAAGTGTTGTTAAACCCATAAAATATCAGTTTGGGTGGTAGCAAAGTTAGCAAAATGGTATTTTGTCTTTTGGGAGAATCTTCCCCATAAAAGTGGTAACATACATGCACACATCTGTTCTATCGTGGTAAAAAATAAATAAAAATAAACAAGCACTTTGCAAAGTCAGGTGGGATAACGCGGTGAAAGTTCCGTAATTGCATTTCATTTCACTCCACCAACAAAAATAAGGGTGGCACACATTCGCTCGCAAATAGGAAAAGAGACAGCAGCGCGGGGACTTTATTTCATTCCGCATTATCATTTCACTCTTTATTAGTAGAAGTTTTAATTACTGGAAACTTGAAAACTTTTGTGGAGCAGATGAATATTATTATGCGGACTTTTGGGCTAAATAAGAAGTGGGTCCACATAGATGCACCATTATCATTCTCTGCACCAGATTTGGATTGTGGTATTGGCTCCTCTCGAGTATCACACACACAAAACGACCACACTAAATGCTGCTGCATTGCTTTCTCCTCTGCTCATCCTATTCATCGAGGGAACCTTTTCTCCCATGCATACCGGATCCGCTTCAAGATTGCCATTAGTAGAAGTGAATACTAAAACGGATATGAGTGGTGCTTTCTGCTGCTGGTGGCCCATCTAAAATTCCAACTAAATTAAACAACCATCTCTGCATGCGCGCAGGGTGGTACTGCAAAGTCGTAGAGATCTGTGGATGTATAATAGTCGTTCCTTTTTTGTCCCAGAAGGAGCGGTTCCCAAATTTACAATTGCTTTCTCCTCCAGAGCGACGAAAAACTAGTCTTGTGGAGAAAGCGGTGATAAAAACCGCTGTAGTCGGAGCATGAGATGATGATAATGCACTATTACGTAGGATTAGGCAAGACACTGGAAGACTGACTCGTTAAACCGCTGCTAAACCCATCACCCTTTTTGTTTGTTAGGCTTACCTACGTATCTAAATACATGCTTGCTTACCCGCTCTCCAAGAAGAGGGTGTAAGTCTAATTGGAAACCCGAGTTGAAAACTAATGTCGGTTTAACAATGATTTCTCAAGGTTTATGGAGCATTTGTGGCGTCCCTCGCTTTCTTCTGTAGTGGAATCGTACAGTCGTACACAAGTCCGGCCATCTACTCGATCGAGTCGGACGGAGAAAGCAACCTCAGTCTGACGAGGAGTGACATTTTATGGTTTGGTGAGCTTTAATCTTTTTCCTTAATCGTGATGATTGATACTTTTACTTAATAGTAATTAAGCCTTTGAACTTGATGAACATATGAACATGCGCATATTTTTGTGACTATGATTTAGCCTCGGGTCCATCCCTGGCCGCATTTGTGGGCACTGCGCTGTCTGCACCGCTTTTAGAATTCTTTGGCAGACAAAAGTCCCTCGTCGTGTGCGCCCTGCCCTCCATCATTGGCTGGATTCTTATAGGATTCGCCACCAATGTCGCAATGCTTCACGCGGGACGCATCTTTACCGGACTGACGATCGGAATTGCGAGAGCGGCTGCTCCAGTTTATGTAATCCAATTACTTTAAATGATATCATCAAACTCTTTCATTTTTAAACTTGAATATCAACGACGGCTGTGGAAATGAGGGAACCATGTTATGCGACAATATTTAATAATACGCTCATGGTCACAATTCAAATGGTGCCAGTTGTTCATGATTATTGGGAATGGGATATGGATACACATTATTTTTCACTAGGCATGCACAATAGATAAATAGTTTCACCCACATTGTTTGTATTTTCACACTTTCTCCAATGCCTTATCATCAAGAGTAGCAGGTGCATAGTTTTAGTTGTTCATAAAACTCATAATGAAAATTGGCAAAACTTTCGCACTAGTGGTAGGCACATGTAAGTGAGAGGAACGCGTAGGCGAAATAAAAGTTTGAGAAACGATACTAATTATTCGGGAACCTGCTGCAGTCTGCACTCATCTGGCTAATGAAAGAGACAATTGAATAACTTTCTCCTACTTATTTCTGACCCGGCGTAATGAAAATTGAATTCCGAAATAGTATCCTCGACCTTTTTGTAATGACTGAAGGAACAATCTCTGAAATTATTCCATTTTCATAATAGTAATATTGACCTCGTTCACTTTTACTTATTTTCGCCATAGTTTAGGATGGAAGAATAAAAGTGTGCCTTTTTTCTGGGCTGAATATGTCTCGTTCATCACCCTTAAGCAGAGAAAGAGAGAGATGAAATCGGAGTGAGATTCATTCAGCATCTCTGAAAATAATTTTCCAGCCCAAATAACCGTACATATTGTGAAAAGAGCTCGAGGCTGCTGCTGGTCTGGTAATATTTGTTTTATTTTATCGTCCTTACACACCAGCCCTCCGAGGGAATTCTGTGTCAGTGTTTGCCATGTACATAAACAACAAAACTTGCGAGACGTCTACTATTTAACAATGATTGACTTGGCAGAAGCAACCAACTTGCTGCACGTCCCCTGCTAATTGGAGTGGGGGCATTGTTGAATGATTTGATCTGATTAATGAATTTCTCTGCCTAGAGGAGGAAACTTGCATTAGTCTTCAACATGACGTCCGCGGAATGTCAGACTCAGTACGTTTAATCTTGTACAAAAAAATAGTAGATGTCTGCTGCATCTGTCCATTTGGTAATAGTCACGTATCGTATCGCTTTTGCACTATGTGCAGTCTGTGGTGAGAAGAATACTGTATAACCTATTAAGTATTTTCCACGGATTTGTTGTCGTTCTTTCAATTCTCCGATCCCTTTTTCTATTAAAACGAGCTACCAGAAAGCAGTAAAAGAGCAGTAATGGAAATTTTTTATTAATTTGTTTCTTTCATCGTGCACAGGTGAGTGAGATTTCTCCACCCAATTCGCGAGGACTCTTGGGTTTCTTTCCCCCAATGATGAACGCCCTTGGGATCCTACTCGGTCTGTGGGTAGGTTGTTGGATCCAGTGGCGAAAACTGGCCATTTTTGTCTCCATCTTCCCCATCCTTCTGCTCTTCTTGTCCCTCTGGCTACCAGAATCCCCCCTCTGGCTCCTCCTCCACGAACAGGGGGAATCTGCCTTCAAGAGTTTGATGAGTCTCCGCGGATCCGGAAGAAGGCTGAAAGTTCAGGAAGAAATGGCTGAAACGAGGAGCTCTATTGAAGAGGTGAAAGTCTCCCTGAGAAATCTAGACTGGAGAGATTTGATTTTTCGGAAGGAAAACTATCTCGCTTTCTCCCTCATGATTTTCCAACAATTCAGCGGCGTCTCGACGGTTATCTACTACCTGGCCATGATTCTTGATGAGGCGACCCCCGCCGGGGGCCGGATTCCTAGGTCACTTCAGCCAGAAACGGCGGGTCTGACAGTAGGCATTGTTCATTTTGTGGCCTTCTTCATCTCATTACCGCTCATCGATCGGCTCGGGAGGAGAGTACTGCTAATTGTGAGCGGAAGTCTGATGGCGATATCGCACGCCACGCTAGCATTATTTCTCTACTTTCACTTGGAGCCGAATGGAACCTTTGTTCACGCCACGGAATCTTGGTTGCCACTGACGGCGTTGTGTGCCTTCATTGCGGCCTTCTCGATTGGTACGTCAACTTTAAAAGAGTGCAAATTTATAAAAATTACTAGCAAAATTCATTCATTTTCCCCTCTCAAGGTTTCGGCCCAGTCCCATTCGTCTTCATGACGGAAGTCTTTTCACTCCGGTTCCGTGGATATTTGTCCTCCGTAGCGACACTAATTGCACAAATCGCCTCGTTCTCAGTTCTCCAACTTTTCCCCATCATGCTCAAAATGATCAGCCCGTACTTTGTATTTCTAATATATGCTCTAGAATGTATCCTAGCCGTCGCTTTTGTGTTCTTCAAAATCCCAGAGACCAAGGGCAAGTCGTTGGCTGAAATCGAGAAACATTTCCGTACCCCCAACACGTTGCTGGAGGAGAAGGAAAATCACCACATGAGCCTTGACCGGGTGGAAGTTCCCTTCGTCTACGTTCCCGTGGCGAGACTCATTTTGTCTGACACGGATATGACCACCACCACCCCGACCAAAATTTACTGTAAAAGTCCAGCAGCTCTGTGATTGCTAGTTTTGTTTAATTACTGGACCTCAAAATATTTCTACTTTAACTGTAGTAATTAACAATTAAAATATTAATTCGAATCTAAATTTCATTAGAGTAGCGCAACTTTAAATGTAGTAACTTGATTCGAAACTTACGAGTAGACTAGCGCAACGATTTTAATACGTATAACTCTCAGCATCGTCGTTCTTTTATTTACCAATGATGATGATGATGACTAATGTTTAATCCATGCAAATTCAAGCTGCAATAAATTATAAGATTATTGCAACATTGAAATTTGACCAAGCTTTTGATATTTTCGCATGAGACTTTTCGCGAGCTTTTCATGCGTCGGGAAACCGAGTGCCCCGAGAAACCAAAACCCAAAAACCGGGATGAGCAGCAGGCTGATTTCGTCCACAGTTCCACACGCAGCGAAATATTTAGTAAAGTTTCGTGAATTGTTAAAAATTAAACTTTGCTGGGTAAGAATACAAATTACAATACGATTAGTTAATTATTACCTCATTTTCTGGCTTGTTAATTATATTTTGGGTATTTATTTGTAGGCTGACAATTGACTTGGGTTGAATGAAATGGCCGAGAAAGGGTCAGATGGAAAGCCCGTCGAACGGGTTCCGGGGGAAGGAATTCGATCAATGAAGACCAGTAATGCATTTCGAGCCTTGAATTTTGAGCTGTATGCGAAACCGGTACGTCTTATTTATTTAGATTAGTTCATATCGACATGGAATTGGAATAATTGTTAATTAATATTCGTTTGTATTTTTTCAGAACAAGAAAATTATGGGACTTGGTATCGTCGGAATAATCTGTGCCGCCAGCTATCTGTTTTACATCAATTACGAAATGTATGATAGAAATAAGTTTTACTATGCGGAAAACGAGGATGGAAGTCGTACTGCGCGACCGAAAACTTCTCGATGGGATTCTTGAATCTTTCCATTAGTCATCATTACTTTACTAGATGTACAAATTACAATGTAAAAACAAATATCTCACTATATTAGCAGGTTAATATACGTACGAAAAAAAATACACACCAATGTACCATCCGAACTGTTTTGAATTATAATAAAATAAGCAATGAATAATCAAAAAGGTCGAAAACTCTCTCTTTGTAGAATAATTTTACTTAAGCTACCACCACCAATTTGTCTTAATAATCGCCGACACGATATATATCACACAGTGTCATGTCCTCTTATTTCTGAGTTGGGACATAATTCAATAGTTCCGAAGAAACCACTTCATTCCAACAGTCGCCTTAAATGTCGTCCAAAAGTTGACATGATCCAGCTCATACTCCTCTCGTACTAATAAATCATGATTAAAGGCTACGCAGTTCTCCATTATTGCTGAGCATTCAATTCAATGTGTTCCATAAAAGACCAATGTTGCTGGTTTTGTCTGGGCAAACATTTTCTCAAGAAGTCGTCCTCCTCTTCTTCTTCTTCATCCTATTAAACACACCGGACGGACGTGTGTCAAGTGAGAAGTTGAGACGACGACGACGACGACTGTTTGACTTGACGTGGAAGAGTTAGGCCAAGAATTGGAGAGAGAGAAAGTGGGATTCATTCTCATGGATGGGACTCCTCTTATCTGCTTCCGGTACCTGGTAGTCATGAATTTCAGAGTGGAGGGGAAAGCACTGGTGGAGTCTGAGAAAGTGGAGATTTCTCAGAGACTCAACCACCACCAACACCATTTTCTCCTTTACAAGGTGGAAGGAGAAGAGGAAACGTTGCATTGCAGTAATTTAGCTGTCTCTGATTCCCTGCCAGCAGTTTCTTTCTTCTTCTTCTTTCTCCCTTGGTGTTGGGTTAGCTCGAGTTAAATCCACACTGCCAGCCAACGAAATACCAAGACGAGTGAAAGTGCGGACAAGGAGCATAGATTATTATTCACTTTTCTCCGCTGTGTCGGGCGATGGAGAGAGTAAACAGGAGGAGATCCAGAATTTTGGAAAACTAAAGTTCTCATGCTCCATTCGCCACTTTCGAATCAGGTTTGTTGTTGCTATTTATGGAGTACAACTACTGGGCTGGGAAAGCACTGCATCCCAGAGCACTTTTCCCCAGCTTTATTACTCTTTCTCACATTACATGCGTTTGCCAGGTTCGAGAAAAAATGCTGTCGCGATAAGTTGTGTTTCACACTTTGTAAAATTCGCTTACCCAAATATGCACTTTCCTGCTTTTATCACATGGCATTCATAACGTCAAATCCGACGACGACACGACAGTGTGAGATGTGTGGACGCAAATTGAATACAAGGATTTTTGGGAGAGGAGTAAAGTGTAAAGGTTTTAGACAAATTTGTGATGATGATATTCCTGAGAAACAAGCACAGATCTGAAACAAGTGGTAGAAAAGAGGAGGATGACATAGCATCATATTTGTTTTTCAAGTTGTATCTTATGCTATGCCATCTTGAAAAAATCCTGTTATGCTTTTCATTTAGCACACAATGGAACGTTGTTCACAAGCAGTTGTTTACTCTCATTGTTGTGTCACATACAAATAATGGATTGCAACAGCATATTACAAGTAAACTGTTTACATCAACAAATATTAAGGGTTTACAAGGTTTTTTTCAGGTTTGATACCGACGAAAGCGATGCTGCATGGGAATAATCGTGGATAATTTGCGGTCTCTGGATTAAAGGCCTGGTTCTAAGCATGGCTTTCCTTGTATTATGCAAGTGCATGTTTTTCTAAAGGGCAACTACCCAAGTAATTATGTAAGATCACCATAACTTGATCAGAAATTTCCCGTGACAAAAAAATGAATACAAAATCAACTGGTGCCTAGGTTTGGCAATCAAATGGGAGACAACTCATCCACACGTTCGCAATTTTCAGCGTCTCTTCGCCATGTCGTCAAAGTGTGCGTGGAATCAAGTGGAGAGTTTGGTCCGGAAACAGCAAAAAAAAGGTTTTTAAATAATCTGCTAGGATGCAGTAAGTAATGCATCGCGGAATGATCGTGGCATCTAGACTTAAAAAATCTACCCGTTTTTGAGGTCGGCTTGTGCACGTTTTTGTAAATAGAGTGACGATTCAAGTAACTAACACCACCACCACCTGACCAGAGCACCCCCATGCAAATTTCCCGTGACCAAGGAGGAAGAAAAAAACACGTCTGCTGCTTCTGCTTCTGCTTCTTCTTTTGCTTTGTTGTTCCAGTCCGTTGATTCCCCTTCTGTGTAATTCTTGAAATCTGGGATATAATAATGCTGCGTAATCTCGAGATGACAATGGCCAAGCAGGTAAACTCACTTTGACGAGTAACAGCCATGCAACTGACTTACTAATAAAAGATACGTTGATACCTCGATTTACTGTAAATGATCTTCACCCAGTCTTCGAGTAAAGTGTATGTACAATGGATAAGACAAATTTTGGGGCCGTGATGATGTTGCCCTGTCTCATTCATCCACACCATGCAGACAGTTCTTGTGCATTTAATTACGTAACTGTTCACCCACAATCGCTCAAACACCGTTTCTACGACTCATACCATACAATGGGATAGAATACACTGCATCAAAATTTGCACAAAACATGGAATCCGCAAAAACCAACTACCAACCAACGTTGTCATTTCCCAAGGATTTGAACAGATCATGTAGCCTCATCAAATTAGTAGCATTCTGATAATTGACCTGCATTAATCTAGTGAAAAATCCGGGTGTCAACAACGATATTTCTGGAATTCATGACCGTCACCACTTTAGTAGAGATTGAGATAATAGGAAATAATAGCAGTGCAGTGTTACACACAAGTGTATAAATATATAATTTGTGAGGAAATGGACACTCGGAAAGTGTCCGCAGCAGTTGGGTTCACCTTATTGATGGGGTGCGTGGTGGCGGTTGTGGTCGTGATATACAACGGATCTGGAGTTCGCACTTCGTACAGAAGTTCGATGGAGAAATCCTGGAAGACCAGAGAACTCTCAATGAAGGTATTCACCACTAAACTTTCCGCATTTATGAACAAGTGTCTCCTCGTGTGAACATAATCTCAAAGGCAACCAAGCCTTCTAGCCTGACTCGTTGCTACACACTACTAAATATTCTAATTTTGTCCCCAAGTTCAGCTTCCGTATTATTAATGATTTGCGACGATTTAATGAATATTTTAGGGCAAACAAGACGTCGTGGGGTCTATTTCTACCACGTCTGAATCTCCCGTGCAAGAAGCTAAAAAGTTGGCGGATGAATTGCAAAAGCTATTTACGAGCAAAATTTCTCATCCTGTTGTAAGTAGCACGAAAAGAGTGGGCAGTGGCGTCGTCACCGTGGTGGACGATGACGATGAGATGGGAACTCTTGAAGATGGGAAAACAATACATACAAAAAACTTAGGAACATTAAAAGAGGAATCGCCAAGCAAGATTTTACCCGCAACGAATCCTGACAAACAGAACAAGATATCTCAACTTGACCAGGTTGAGGATGAAGTCAAGAGTCATGGCAATCCTGAGAAAGATGACATGGATCCAAATCAGGACGAGTCACCGATAGAAACAGATTCACCAGATGATAATGACGACCATTACCCCACGTTTAATATGCCATCAGTCAATTCCAGACCGATGATTCCAAACACTCAACGTGATCCACCCACCATGGTTCAGCAGCCTAGAAGCAATATTCTTCTCGTCCAGTCACCATCATCCTCAAGACATCCTCCTCAACGACCCACAGACACCGTCAACATACGACTCTCACCACCACCACGAGGAGTCAATTCCCAACTTCAGGACAGGATTTCCCACGGTGATGGTGTTCCAAAATATCAGACGAGGAAAGATCACTTTCCGCTACAAGGAGATGATGACACTTATTATCAGAATCAGGGATATCGTGAACCAACTCCTCTTGGGAGCAGGGAGGATGAAACGGCGGATGAGGACTACGAACAAGACCAAGAAGAACAAATTGTCGACACGAGGTCCGCCAGTGCCAGGGACCCGTTAAAAGCCATGGGAAATATGCTTCAACTAATCACAGATGTGTACCAGCGAGGCAAGGATGGGCTCGACATGACAGGATTTCTTAGGGTATGCCAAGCCAAATTAATTATTTTCTTTCTTCGTCATTACATCCCTGACTACATAAACTAATTAGCTCCAAATTCAGAATTCAGCCAGAAGTCGGAGTAGAGTTTACATATAATATTATTCGCTTCCTTCTCTGTTTCAAACCAAAACCAATTAAAGTAGGTCAAGTATTTATTGCGTTTCTTGCTACAACTAATTTGTAACATACGTGGCATATAGCCTTCAAACTGTGCTGAGAAGTAAGTACAATCCCACCCCAAAAGAAAATCTTTCCTTCAAAGCGTTAATCCTGCATACAGGATGAATCCGAGTGAGCGAGCAACCGTCTCAATTTCCCAGTACGACTCACTCTTGAAGTTCTGCTTGATAGGTCAAATTGAGACTCTCCTCCGAAATTCTTGCTCTTCCAAAGTTTCTCCATAATATCCAGACGGAGTAGACGTTACAGCACTATCATGAATATTGACAAACGGAATGTAATGTCGTCAAGAGAGGGAGAGATAGGTTCCCGTAATTGCATACTGCTCTGAGGAGGGGAGGTTGTGTACTATCAACTCCCGGATCTCGATGCCCTTTGGATATGTTGTAGTGTCCCATGAATGTACAAGAACCCTGAAGCGGTTTGATGCCATGGCCACATTTGCGCCTGCCACACCCACTCAAAGGTGCCCAAAAACCGCTTTCACTCCAGCTTTCACTCACTTAAATTTACCCCAAAAATCCAATTTTACTCGGATTTTCAAATTTCTTTCACCATTATGCTCCCAGACAGTTGCTTTCTTATTTCCAACACCAAACTCAACTTGTTTGATGTTTATTTCGCAGGCATAATTAGCTTTGTTGATTGCTACAACAATGCTCATTCAGAATTTTAAATTTTAAAAATACTAAAAAAATTGAAAAGTCGAGTTTGATGTTGGAAATAAGAAAGCAACTATCTGGGAGCATAATGGTGAAAGAAATTTGAAAATCCGAGTAAAATTGGATTTTTGGGGTAAATTTAAGTGAGTGAAAGCTGGAGTGAAAGCGGTTTTTGGGCACCTTTGAGTGGGCGCAAATGTGGCCATGGCATCAAACCACTTCAGGGTTCTTGTACATTCATGGGACACTACAACATATCCAAAGGGCATGGAGATCTGGGAGTTGATAGTACACAACCTCCCCTCCTGAGGAGAAGGTACATACAAATTCTAATGCCATTTCTAACGGCCTTTCTGATGTTTAGGTCATTAACGAGACGGTCCAAAGGGGCAATAACAACAACCTACTCAGCCAACTAAATCAGATGTACTCGAAAAAACCTTCGTTACTATTCCCTCCTCCAAAATCGGCTTCCGTTGGACGAAATGCTCTCGAAAATTCACTCTCAGCATTCGTCTTCATGTCCTTTGGAGTCTTTCTCCTTAATCAAATTCACAACTTTATGGGAGGCTCTGGGCAGATTGGCAGGAACGGCGATGACAAACATGCACTTCGACAAGGGAGAAAGCTGGACAACTTTGATCTGGATCATTCCGAACTGAATTTTTTATTCGAACCGCCCACCGAAGCGGATACAACGACTCTTTTTAATGGATCCGAGGATGGGAAAGGACTGCTACCGATTTCTGACGCTGTGAAGAACCGACCTGGTCACCAGGAAAAGAATAATGAAACCCGGTCAGAAGTAGTGGAAAAAGTGGTGACATCGAATCGTAACGCGACCAATGTGGGAGTGAACACTTTGCCCAACAGGACTTCTAATTATGTGAATAACATGTTCCGCGCCGCTATTAATTTGGTGAACGCCTACACGAAGGATACCCAAGCGTTGGACTGCATTTGGTCAAAATATTGTCAAGACTTGGATAAAACGTCGGCTCAGCATGGGTCCCTGTATTCAATTGCTGCCAGGATTAATAGGTAGGTGAATAATTTGTCACATTTTTATCTCTCCAGAGAGAGGAAGAGAAAGCAGGAGAAAATTGTGATTAAGTTGAGACACTGAGATTCCGAGTAAGTACTTTATGACTTTCCAAGCCATGAATTCAACACTTAGAAACTTATTTGCGCAGTAATTACGCTCGGATTTTGTGTATAACGTCCACACGAATATTATTCTTCTCCCGTGGAAATGGGTTACACTCCATTAACCACGAATGACAACTTCTTGGACTCGGGAGCATATGATAAAAGGCTGTTAAGAGGAGGTCCAAGGATGGGCGCTGAAAAAATGTCGCTGGTCCGCCTTCCTATCGCAAAGAAACATCTCATTATATTCCCATCAACATTCTATTCTGCACCATCCTCCCTCCGGTCACTACACTGGCTGAGCAAATATTTCATCCTCGACTCAAAGTCGACGGACTTGAGCTTTTTGCTGTACAGAGTTTGGCCGGTCATTCCTTTTTTTGCGCCTGAACTCCATTTTGTCACTAGTTCTACTGCACAATTTCTTGATACATATTGTACCCAGGGCTCAAATAGTTTGATCTGATTTAATGTGCGACTCGACACCAGACCACAACCAATTCAAGAGGAATGACAGGTTTATTATATTTCGGTTGGTCAGGAGGAACACTAGATGACGAGAGAATCGAGAAAGATAAGGTTCCCACATTTTTGGACAAGTCGATCGAGTGCAAGTTAGTGGAAGTTAGGAACAAAAAAAAGGTCGAAAGAAAGTTGTCTCTCTTTCTCTCAGGGAAGGAATAAATAGCTCCTGGTTCCGGTCTTTAAGGTAATGCCCACTCCTCATTTTTATTTACAAGGTGGCGTGGCACAGTGGCCAACTGTGAACCTACGTAGCTACCAGGGAAGCAGTTTCTTGCTCATCGTCAAGACTTATACTCGCATTTAATTTGATTAGACATTGAACACCCTGTAAAACTCTGATAAGGGACTATTTTTCTCCCAAATGATGTAACAAACTGGCCTCAGAACGTTTTCTGCTAGACAAAGTGCTTTTTAAGATAGGCGCACTTTCCCTGCTCATCTTAATCTTAACGCGACATGAGGAGCGGTTTGCCAGAAGTTTGTGTTTTCGCTCTATTGACTCTTACTTAATATCCAGTTTGTTGAGAGAGAAATGGAGTTTCAGCAGCTTTTGAAGTTTGAATATGTGCGACTTACGTTCCAACGCAAAAAAACCATTATGTGTCCCACATTTAGAATCGGGCACTGACCGCATTTGTTGCATTTAACACAAGCCAACCAGCAAACTGTGTTTTTATCTTTTATTCAACAGAGCATTAAGTCCCGTATTATATGCCAAATAGTGCTCGGCACGAGACGAGATTTCCTTGGCTCGGCTCGAAAATGACTCGAGAGACGAGACGAGAGGACGATTTTGTCATCTGAGATATCTCGACTCGTCAGATACGAGATATCCATATTTAATTCTGTCCCTCTAAATTAAATGAGCAGTTGCGATAGAACATTAAATATTTACTTAAAATTCTCATGAATTATCCCGTCAGTGTTCATTAGAACAAGCAATTTTAAATTTGAGTACCTTTTACATAAAAATCGAGATATTTACAGATCGGTAAAAGTTCCGAATATAATTTTAATTATTCGCGTAAGAAATTTTTGGGTGAAAGTGCATTTCCTTGTATAAGCTGCCCCATCCTTGCAGAAAACTATGTGAAGGCAAAATCGCGTATTGGTTGCCAAATGCCGAGATATTTGTTGTATTGAGACATCCAACCTAGACCGAGATTAGGCGAGACGAGCTGGAGTTGGTTTCGCCTCGAAATGTTCGAGACGGGCTCGTCTCGTGGCGAGCACTACCACCAAATGACACCGGAGAGGGGTAGTCCTGTGTGCATACTACTAACTCACGTTTTTGTGGGTGTGAGCTCAAACGATGTTGCTGGTGCTGAATTATTCTGGGATTTTATAGCCCCACCAGTACCGTGTTTTGTACTTAGCAGAGAAAGCAAAGTAATAGTCAGATGAGTTGGGAAAGGAGGATTTGGCAGGTCGAGTGTTGTCCTGTAGAGCTTTCCCCACCAGCAGCCAAGAGCCAAGAAGAGCAGTAGAACATAGTAGGATGCACCCAAGGGACGGCTGCCAAGAATCGAAAATTGGGCTCCACAAATGGTCAGCAAGTTGATCTCTCCTTTTCTCTGCTTCCTACTACTTCTCTCCACTTCCTCTACTCCTGTTCGTGCTCAATGAAATTCATACCCGCACACGGCATACGGTTCAGCCAGAAAATGAGCGAAAAATCCGTCTGTCCACTGTCTCTGACCTGACCCATTGATATAATAGGAAAGAATAAAAGTTGTGGACATCATCCACACCATTTCAGATCCTGCACTAATTCATATCGGATAAACCAAACTCATTCACTGACTGAGCTCTCTTCCCTTATTTGATTTTTTATTTATTTTTTATTTATTTCAGCGTGGGACTTCGCCTTATCATGGGCCAAATCCAGACCGAGTTGACTGTTGATGCCGTCCTGCACTCCCTCCTTGGGTGGGATGGGCTCCCCTGTGTCAAAATGTTTTCCAAGTGAGTCGCCCCTGCCTTCCAGTCTTTTTCCTCGTCCTCCTCGGCTTTTATTCTCAAAATTTGCTTGCTTACAATTGTACTTGATACTTGCGTATCAACAAAATCCGGCAAATCGGTTCGGTCCTGCAATTTTTCATGCACGTGTAGAAACGAGTTACTATTTGCATTGAATTTGACAGCCATCACAATTTAGCTTTTTTTCGGTATACACATTGGAATCAAATCATTCCCAATCTGACCTCCATTACGGCTCGAGTATGTAGATATTTCTCAATTTCATGCAAATGTGGATTCACGTTCTGCACGAGAAAATACGCATTTTTCCTGTATAAAACCCTTTCTATGTTACAAATTGTTGAATTTTGCCTCTTTCTGCAGATGCAACATGGTCCATGGCAAACTGCTCAGGCAGCAGGACGACGGCGGAATAAACGACCAACGAGGAGGCGAACGACAACATAATCAAACTGGAAAAGCCGAGTGATTTTTTTTAGTTTGCATAAAACTTTATGCAACAGTATTTCAAATTTTATTTAGTGATATGCAAGTAAATGGCATTATATTCTAGACGATTAGATAGCATATAAATATGTGTGTATGAATTACGGCATGGTGATGGGAAGGTCAAAGGGTTGTTTAATAAAGTGTATTTTTTATTTTTAAAACGCATTCTAGTCTGGAGTGTCGCTTTGTTCAGAAATAATAAAAACAGGCCCGAATGCAGATTACGAGAATTTATAAAACTGGGAATAAAAAGCGGAGATCGAGCCCATTTGAATTGATTCATGTATTCCTGGCAGACAGCCCTGAGAGACCTCGTCGTCCTTCGATTGGAGCAGTCGAGGTGGATGGATCTCCCATTTTTTGGAGAGAGAGAGAGAAAGAATTAAGTGTCTGCTTTCTCCTCACCACTTTCTTTACGTCTCATGATGCAGATGCATAATACAATAAAAGAAGACATAAAATCATGTCTGGGAGAGGCGAGGCGATGCCAAGGCAGCCGTTAACCGACACGATATCGAGCATTATTATGAATTACTCTCTCCAAACTTCATTGCTTTCTCCTCAGACTGCCAAACCAACAACCGTATCAAGTTCTCATAATGACATGTGCACTTATCGTTCCCTCGAGTTGTTGTTCCTCGCTCAGATCGTGAATTTAAATTCCGGAAAACTTACGACATGTAGTGAAGGAAAGTGGGAGAGTAGTTTTTATTATATACGTATTATTATTATTAGTATTAGTATTGCGAGCCACGCCACCGGCCCAGTGGATCAATTTTGTGGCTACCAACCAAAAGCAGCTGTTGACAATATGTGTACGGACGGATGGACGGACGGCTTTCTCTTTTCATCATCATTTCTGAGCAGATGAGATGGTTTGAGAAGAAAGCCCTGTGCCAAAACCCAGCTCCATTTGCTTTACGACTTTGAATCCTTATGCACACTGTAATTTAAATTTTGATGAAATAAAGAGCAGCAAATTCCAATTTTTAGGTCACGCACCACTAAAACCGAAAGCATTATTTCTCTCCGAGCCAAATCATTACAAATTCATGTATTCGAAACCTGGGCTGGAGAATCATTTTCCAAAACCTTTTGATGTCTGGTATATCTTGGGGGAGAGTGTAATAAGGATTTGGAGATAACAGCACAAGCAACAGCAGCCTCGCGAAAAGTGGTGTTGCTGCATATTGAGAAAGGATGAAGGGAAAGTTTTAGCCTGCCGAAAAGAGGACAGAGTAGTCGAGGTCCATTATCATTCATTGCCAATGATCTTCATCTATTCACCTATTTACATCCACCATCGTGTCTCCTCCTCTCTCTCGCGAAACATGGCATGCATACAGCCAACGAGGACTTTGACTTTCTCCACCATCCTGCATCGTGTCACCTTCCTTTTCTTCCTCTTCTTTAAATAATCATTCGTCCAAGAGATCGTTCCCTACTTACTTCCACTTGAGTAGGACACTCCATGTCATCGCCCAATTTTGGCCCTAAATAAATCATCATTTCCTCCTCCTCTTCCTCTCCCACCTCTCCCTGTGCATGATGCAGGTTCGGATTTCTTTATTTTTCAGACACCGTGCGTTTCTAGGCAGGCGAGGATTTTGTTTTCAACACTCCGACAAAAGAACATGCAGTGCGGCTGCCTTTTAGAAGAATGAAAGAGGAAAAAGACAAGTTGAAAATCAAATCAATATAAAAGCGAAAAACGTAAAAATTGCATCCAGATTTTGTATCCAAACTCTGCACCTTATTGCGAAGATTGGTAGCGGTGGTGGTGGCAAAAGAGCAATAAGAATAACGAATCTAATCCGGATTTCTAAATGGATGGATGGAATCTGTTTTCAGATTGGCAAGCTGAGAGAGCAAAAATCCTTCCCACTGACTGCAAAATGGGACAAGGAAGTTTCCCATAAAATTACGGAGGGATGCTTTACCAAATGGTGCCAGATATTGTGATACGCTCCTCACTCCACAAAATACCAGAGTTGGAAGTACAAATTTTAAAACTTTGAGCAAAATTGCGTTTCGTGGGATCCTAAAGCTATCAAAGGCATCGCCACGATCCAATTTTTTTAATCTTCACAGATCAAATATTTGACTGCACTACTAAATACGACGACACCATAAAAAATCACGTTTACAACGCAAGGGATCAAAGTAGAAGAAATAGTCGTCAAAGCTCACATGCCACTACATAAAACAAAAGTAGTAGTAAAATTCATACAGACAAAAGTTTGCCAGGGGAAAATAAGTCAATTTGCAGTAACATGTGTGCCTCCTCCTTGCCACGCTACATTTTATTTTATCCTTTGATGGCCCAAAGTAAAGTGAGAGGGAGAGAATTAGCTTCTCAAGTTGTAATCAGATTTTGCTCAGTTTTCACCAGGGATAAGATTAGGGTGTAAATTTCTCTATTACCCGTGTCGGGTTTTCCTCATGTGCAGGATTACGGTATAAGCATGTTCCATCTCAATTTACTCCATGGGACGTGATATGGACCTCCGAAATGCACACTGTATAACCAAATTTACTTGCGTGCTCATGTTTAATGTATGTATGTGACAATAAGGAATATATTTGTTTATTGGGTGCAAAGTGTCGTACAAAATAATTGCAAATGAAATTGTCGGTCGTTGTGAATCATTGCGAATAAAGAGTTACATAAATTTTTTTACGACAAGGGTAAAAAATGACGTCAAATATTTTCCAGTCGTGACAAGACTTGATAAATACTTGAGAACGATCCCAGAATAATTGAACCTTGGACACCGTGAAGAATTTGAATTTTGCGTGGTAAAACTTTAAACCGTGGTGACAATTATTTTGTGTCGGTGAACAAAATGATGTAAGGATTTTACTCAAAGTAAGAAGATTGCTGGGAAAGTGTAAAGTTGGTGTTTTGGGTTTGATCGATGAGAAATGCGGAGAAACTCACTGCCGCAGCCTCGTGTTGTACAGTTACAAAAGGAATTCCTGCCTATAGTTCTGTGTGTGTGTTTCTTCGCTTAGAATTTACATAATTAATATTTGCTCGCCAGGTGAAAGATCCCCGTTAATCTGGGGAAATGTATGGAATGAAATCTTATTATTTGGTGAAATGCCGTCACGATACCATTCACACAATAAGATGTGGAATTTAAGGGACAGTTATTCATACTTACCGTGTGCACACGCAGGATTCAAGAATCTTTTCAATGCCGCAGAAATACTGACGATGACGACAAGAATTATAACCAAGTGTGCGAATTGGCCTTCGTGTTATAATGAAACACCTAAATCTAAATAAGTATCTAATCCCCCCCTCTGAATTTTACCTATGAATTTGATTAGAACAAAATCCTAGAGGGATCCGTGAGCGGGATGCAACATAAAAGAATTGTTATTGCATCATCGCAAATACTTTTCCTGGGTCAGGGCTCAGGTTATATAGACTTCGACTGGCTTGAGAGTTGAGACTCGTAAAAGTTGGATTGGAGCGAGAGCCCTCAAAATATAAGTGGCTCTGTTGCGTCGCATTGTTCTCTCTTTTTGCGATTAGTGATTCCATGCAGAGAAGTCACTTTTGTATTTCCTCGGGGAGACAGTCGTTCTAAATATCTCTCTCCGCACGGCAAATGACATATTTAAAACAAAGATTAAGCCCCCTTCAGGAATAATGGGAGAAAATGCATTCGAATTTCATAGAATTTCTCTCTCCCTCGCACTCTTTCCACTGCTTTCTCCTCAAATGCTGTGGATTGTGAAGGAGAGAAAAATTCCCTCCGAACATCTTCTTCAACACCATTAAGTTTAACAGTATGGAGAAGAAGGGACTAGCGGAAATCGCACATCATTTCCCCACCCTGCAAAACTTGATCGTCGCTAGTCTACTTTTTCCCCTCACTCGTAGACTGATGCCTCCGCTCAAAATTTAATGTGGAGGAGGGAGCAAACCACTCCATCCATTCTCGTTACAACGTAATTGCTCGTGGCGATCAAGTTTATTCGTCCGTTCGTGAGGAGCTTGTTTGGATTCAAAACTGAGGAGCGATGAGAGGAAAAGGAATAACTTTTTTAAAATGGAATCATTTCGTAATGCGGAGGGAGAACTACGTATGTTTCGCTCCAGCATCACTACGCATATGGCGACGGAGGGCATGCCGGAATGAAACGACATATAAATTCATGGGCGCAAATGAACGATCTCGAGAGGAATGTGTACTGCATCTTTCCACGCTGCTGGGAGTGCGATTTGAGAGAAAGCATGTACATACATACGTACACACAAGTTGTGCACCTACTGCACAGTGGACCGGACTACATACGTTACGTACGAATTTATTTGCTATGGTTAAAAGTCCGACTTCAGGTTGGCTGCTGGCTTTCTTCCTTCAAATCCATACTGCTGCTCCCTTCCTTCCTTGGAGAGAGAGAAAGTACGCACCGTGAACGACTTTCTCCACCCTTCTTGGTCTTTTTCTGTCCCACTACTGAATTCCTCCAGCTTCCAGCTTGGTTGGTGGGTTTTGTTGGCATAGAAGTGTTGGTTGGTGCGAATGCGGTAGTGGTGGTGAAAGTGGTTGGTATTGGAGATCGGGTTGCACATGGAATGTTGACTAGAACAGAGCGGGAGGAAACTGAGAGACAGCGAGAAGCCTTTGGGAAATCCTCAGTCGTTGCCAGAACGCTTTCTTTGATGGACGTGCCCCAAACTCGCCCTCGGAACAAATGCGAATGCAGAGCAACGACTACTAACCGTCTCACTTTTCGTCGAGTGCAAAGTGTTTGCGGAAGGGTTGCGTTTTCTGTCACCTCTCCGCTGCAGGATATTCATCATCCAATCACGCATTCAAGTAGGCTTTGCACATCCGACAGTCGGGCAGCAAATCAAGTTATACGAGAAGAGCACCTCCACCACCAGCTTCCACCTGAACCCACTGTGTACAAAAACTGTCACACTTTCTCCCAAACTTTCACTTATTAGTGTCCTCGTGGTGCTGGGAGCACGTTCTTCTTCACCACTCGAGTCAGCAGTTAGAAGAAAAAAAAGTTTGCTTTAAATCTACCTCAATTTGACATCGTGTCATGAAATCAACATTCTCGGAAGGTTAAGTACCTTCAAATTCGACAGTGGGTAAAGACACATTTTGAACTGAAAGGTTAATTGGAAATTTATCTCTCGTGATAAAATAATTCTTCGACTTGACTCTCCATTATTCGTGACTATATAAAACCAAGAATATCAAAATCTGCTCCATCCATCCATCCATCTTCTCATTCTTGGCACTTATTCGCCCAAAATAAAGTCACTCTTTTTTTTAGAATATGCTCGCCAGTTGGTGATAAAGAAGTCATTAACTTTTTTGGACGCATCTCTCTCAACCATTTGGTAAGTGGCGTGTTGGGATTTTTCCCTCTTTCTTCTCCACTTTCTCACCAATTATTACTCAAATGATGATATTAATGGGTTAAGATCTTTATTTAATGGAGAATGGAGCGTAGCTTAATTGTTGAGAAGTTTGAGAGAAAATTCGCTCAGAAGGAGTGGAAGAAGAAGAAACAATTGATTTAAGAATTCCATGTCTCAACGTCAAGAAGCTTGAGCCCGACAAAGGGGGAAAGATTTTATAAGAAATTCATACCCGTGATGGTGGTGGTAGTAGTTTGTCTGCAGGAATGCATGGCAGCAAGGACCCTTTGATCTCCGCGAGTGGTGGAAATACACCGTGTTATGCTAATTGCAAATCCATCCTTTTGTTGTTGGTTGTTTATGTGCGCTCTCTTCTTTTATTTTATTAGTACTTCCATCCTGTGGCCGTGATTAATTTGACTCCCTTTCCCCTCCGCGTGGGGGGAGAAGCGTAGTAGAATTAATAACAGGTAATACACACAAATATTCAGGTTCGCGAGCAGTATTAAGGATGCCTGTAGTACGGATAGAGGAGAAAGGGAGATAATTAGTGGAAGAGTGGCGCGTAGTTGAGGAGACCACGACGGCAGCAAAGTCCATAATCCAGCGATAATGCACGCACACCATCACCTCAGAGACGGCCGGAGGGAATGCGTTCATCTTTCCTTACAAAGGAACAAGGAAGTATAAATAATCACATTAAATCAAAAACAGAACATCCGCAACAATGACAAATTAAACGAGAGGGATAATATTCATCGAGAATGAACCAACTTTCACCCGCATGAAGGCATTAACTGAATCAATATCCCGTAGTGGTTCCCACTGCAGCTACAAGTTTGCATTTATAAATGAGTCCGCTCCAACCCAACCTTCGTCTAGTGTGTCGTTTGCATACACTTTATTCGAGGTTCAATTTTCATCAGGTTAATTAGATCCTGTCTGCCCATGCCAGCCATATGCCGTTTATTTATTTGCTAAATCAGGTCACAAAGTCTACCCAGGTTTCCCCTCGTCTTATGAACCTAGCACTCCATCGTCCCCGTAACACTGGATATCAAATTTATACAGTCAAGAAGAATTTTAATAAGTGAAGGCAGGCAGACAGGCTGTTGTTCGTTGGTGACTATATTATACGGCTGCATATGTACACACATATGTATGCGTGGGTAATGTAACGTGAGATTGCTGAAGCAGATTTCTCCGCTTTTGAGGCAATGCAACACTGAAGGCACGCGACATTTCGATTCCGTTTCCTTCCTCCTTTCACTGGGAGGACGACGAGGTAGAAAGTTTTTGTGCACAGGTGGTTACCTTCTTTGTTTGGGGAGAGGAGAAGGAAAATTAAGAAATTCCAAGCGGACAAGAGATTCTGGTCAGAGAGTTATAACCAAAGGTCACAAGGCAGGAATTCTAGTCGTTTCTCGAATTAACTTCTTTCTCCTCTGGGCTGGTCTGGTTAACAGAGTCGTCGTCGTCGACAGAGCAAACATCAGCAGCAGGAAGAGTCGTAGCTCCCGGAGTTGTAACCTTGTCGAGCAGAGGTACATATATTTTGTGTGTACATGTGTCCTGATCAGGAGGAGGAGGAAGGTTGGTGGTTGGCGGAGGAAAATTAGTGATAAAGTATGGGTGCAGAACATTGAAAAGAAAGGAATTGTAGGGCTCGGAGTAGAACTGGGAGGCAGGATCTGTCCCGCTCATTTAGGAGAGTGGATATCCGTGTAGACTTCCGCCTCACTTTTACTCATTGCGATTCCATTCAACAAAACAGGCCTTCATGAATCATTAAACTCTTATGATTGTGACCATAGCCGTGGACAGAGCGCTGGTCATGGCACCGTCGTCACTTTAAGCTAGACCACCATGACCAATCGGACTTTCACCAGGAAATGGGTGCATTAGTGGGAGCATTGTCTAAAGTGACTGGAAATAAGGGTGATTTGTACGTATATGTATTTATGTAATTGAAGTGAATGATTATTGGAGGACATGCCGGTTATGTCGCGTTTCAAATTGAATGATGTGAGAAATTTCGGAATTGGACATGCAACACTTGTGGGATTGAAGTTGTCGACGAAGGTAGAGCGCAAACTTACACTAACTTTTTGCGTTTGGCTACTTATCCTCCAGTTCCAACCCATTGGTAAATCTCATATTTATCAAAAACAATCAATGAGATTCCGGATCATTGCATGTCAAGGCTAATCAATGCCTGAAAAAATGTGCATTGCACAATAATATCGTAGGAATAATATATGATGAGGGCTGCAGGCTATGTGTCATTAATAAATTGAATTGAAAATTAAATAATATCGTAGTAATATGGTAATATGACAAGGTAATAATTACAAGGTTGCGACAATTGCTTCGACGTCTAAAAAACTTAAATTTTCGAAAACCCTGGTACCTTTTGGAATCAGTGTGCGTCGCACAAACTGTCGCCCAGAAACAAACCGCACAAAAATTGTCAACACTCACATTTCGTGCTCTCGATTCTCGAATTAATTTTTTAATCATGGATGTATTATGATAAATTGTCAAGCAATCTTGCACTCAAAGTTAGTGAGGAGAAAAGACCAAAATGTCTTTTCTCCTCACTGAAAGACTGCTGAAGAAAATAAGAAAACTGCCTTTTCTAATTAAAAAATGATTATCGAAGGGTTTTTGCGAGCTTGCCGACAAAAAATTGAAGGAACATAAAACTTGATTTGATAGGGAAGGAAGAAAATAATACGCGGTTGGTGCTATCCGGATCGTCCATTAATGATCAATAGGAAGTACTCGTATAAATTGCTCAATATGCACAGCCCGGACAATTTTTCAATCATCGCGGTGGATCAGGCTTCCGTGGTGATTCAAAGGCAGATTAAGGAGGCAATGAATCTTTATCTGCACAACATTGCTGGTTGTGCACCGGTTGACGTTGCTTGTCTGAAGGATAGACTTCCTGTACCTGTCAAATTTTAGGATGGGTATGATCATGAATGCGACATGTCGATAGCACCAAAAAGAAGTGTTGTGCCAAATTTCATGCAAATCGGACGAGAAATGGCGAAATTATGACATGGCGACGAAATCTGTCGCAAACAAGGGGGTGGCGGTGGGTGGGACCTTGCGACATGTCAACAACACCAATAAGAAGCATTGTGCCAAATTTCATGCAAATCGGCCGATAAGTGGCGAAATTATGGCATGGCGACGAAATCTGTCGAAAACAAGGGGGTGGCGGCGGGTGGGACCTTGCGACATGTCAACAACACCAATAAGAAGCATTGTGCCAAATTTCATACAAATCGGCCGATAAATGGCGAACTTATGGCATGGCGACAAAGGTTGTCGCCATGCCATGCATTTATAAGGGGGGAGCTCTTAGCCGCCCTAAGAAGGGCGTTTCCAGAGCACACGACGAGGACGTCGCTCCCTCGTGCTCCACGCGGGTCGGCCCCCACTTGCGCCCGGAGACGCAAGGGGGGTCTACCTCCACCGACCGGGAAAGCCCTGCCCACGTCGCCGCCTCTGCAACCGCGTTCCCCTAGGGGGCCCGTCTGACCCTCGCCTTACGAGGTGGGAGCGCACCCGTAAATCGGCCCCCATTAAGGCTTCGAACTCGGGAACCCGGTCGGCCCCAAGGGGAGGTATCGCTAAAGAGCGGCGTCACCCAAGGGTTGGAGGTAGAGAGCCCCTCTCACTTGCCAAGCGCCACCCGCACTTTTGGCAAGCCCCGCCGGCTCCCTACCCGGTGAGTCTGCTGGGTGGGAGGAGCATTGGAGGGGGGACCTTCCCGTAAGGCTCTCCCCTTGCAGCGTTGCTCCCCCGGACCACCCCTCCAACGGGAAGAGAGTCGGGGCTGTGGGACAAACCACGGGTGGACCCGACTCCCCAGAGAGGCAGGGCGGTCCAGGGGCGCGGCTACAATGGGGAGCTCACCCAGGGACACGTCCCCCACGAGCGCCTCCCGCAGACTGACAAAAATTTCTGGTGCAGCTCCTTTTATACCCTCTGGAGGGCGGTGAAAGTTCTGCTATAAATAGCACCCGGTGAAAGTTCTGCTATAAATAGCACTATTAATAGACTATATTAATAGCACCTGAGATAAGCGGCCTCACATATAGTATATAGCACAATCGTGCTATAGGTATACAGCTGTATACCTGTGTATATAACATATATATAACATATATAAATATATACATAGCATATATATATTTAGTAGTTATATACATACACATATGTTATATATAGTTATACACAGGTATACAGGTGTAAGTTGTGCTATATACTATAGAACTATAGTGCGTCTCAAAATGTAAAGATAATCATACAAATGACCAAAATTAAATGACCGAATCATGTCTCAGCGATACCGTGCATGTATGGTACAGATAATCTATCTGGTACTATTCACACAAAAATTCATCCACGTGTGATATAAAATGGGGAAGATATGATAAAATAATTAAATTAAGATAAATTCGTCTGTCTCAAAATAGAAAGATGGGCGTTTTATTTTTTAATGTCTAGTGTTATTTTGGGCAGGCAAGTTAAGAGTCGTAAGTGTAATTTGCTAAGTTGTAAAGTGCAAACAAATGCCGAAAGGTCAGCCTCTGAGCGATTTCAAATTGGGGCAAATTCAGCTCCTAAAAGACCAAGGTCTGTCGCAGCAAAAAATTGCAGATTTTCTTGGGTGTTCTCAAAGCGTTATTTCAAATTATCTGAACTCAAGAACCCATCAGGGTGGCGAAAATGCTCAAATCGGACGCCCAAAGATTCTCACTGAGCGAGACGAACGGAAAATTGCGCAATTAGCATCAACAGGCCAATATTCTGTTCGTGAAATTGCGAGGGAATTGCCCATTTCCGTGTCAAAGGACACAGTTCATCGAACTCTGTGCAACAATCCGGACCTCCAGTGGCGTAAAAAGATAACACAGCCCCCGTTGACTCAGAGGCATCGCGACGCAAGATTGGACTTTGCTCGAGAACACATGACGTGGGGCAAGGAGTGGCAGAAAGTCGTCTTCAGCGACGAAAAAAAGTTCAATCTCGATGGTCCAGACGGGTATGCCTACTACTGGCACAATTTGAGAAACAGTCCAGAAATTTTCTCCAAGAGGCAAGCTGGTATGTGTAATATGTAAAGTAAAAAGCAATATACATGCATATGAACTCATTTATCAAAGTACAGATAAAAATAAATTCATTGATTTTCAGGAGGTGGATCAGTTATGCTTTGGGGGGCATATGGATACCATGGCAAGACTGGGCTCGTGTCAATTCCACCAAGGACTAACTCGGCTGGTTATCAAGATGTCCTGAAAGCCAATCTTATCCGGCAGGGGTCCAAAATTGGTGGGCGCGGATGGATTTTCCAACAGGACAACGCTAGTATCCATGCTTCCCGATCAACAACCGACTTTTTGGCCGCCAAAAACGTACAGACCTTGAAGTGGCCGGCTCGAAGTCCGGATTTAAATCCTATGGAAAATCTTTGGGCTGAACTTTCACGCCGGGTCTATAGTCATGGACGCCAGTATAGGTCAAAATGGGAACTTGAACAAGCCATTCACCAGGAGGGCCAATATCCCGATCGAAACTTTACGGCACCTCACTGATTCCATGAAAAGTCGAATATTTGAGGTTATTTTGGCTCATGGTGGTTTCA